AAAAGTACTAGAATCTCTATATGTAGAGATTATTATTCCTACCGTTTTTTTACTGTGTACTTTTTAAAGGTTTTAATACTACACGAATAAATAACACATTTCTCCGTTACAAATTTATTGTCATTTCTGGTAGTAAAGCTGGGTATTAAGATTCAGTCCTACTGTAATATTGCAGAGCAAGACGGTGAGATATGGTTGAAATTGATTTCAAATGGTAATTATGACGTTTCAGGCAAAAAAAAAACCCAGTTAAGTTTACTTTTTTAACATCTTTTCAACAAGTCAACCACTTTTCACTAATATCGAACGTAAGTAGAACAACACAAACCCTAACAATGAGTTAGGTAAACATCAAAAATATTTCAGTAAACTGAAGGAATAAATAGTTATTGGGCCACTGATAACAGCGGACACACTAGTATAATAAAATTCACTGTAGGAATAAAAAAAGAATTCGGTGAACTGCCTATGTTAGATTGTAAGATGGATGGATGGAATTTAATGAAACATGATTTATAGAAAAGCAACGGATTGAATATAATTTCTGTATTTTCCCCTCAGTTCATTTAATCTAGGTGAAACAAGGGTTAATAAGGAGTCATGCGAACAGGGTATGCAGTCTAAGAATATGATTTGAAGACCAATAACTGTAAATGAAAATTGTATTCCAAATGTTGATAGACAACCATTATCATCTAGTAAAATTTACAGACAATAAAGTTGGAAATAAACAGAAGAATAAATCTAGGAAACAATTATAAAAAAGGATAGTAATGTCAGCAAAAAAAATCCTAAAATGTCAAATATCTATATTCCTTTCAAAACAGCAACAAATGAAACCAGCTCAAGGATCCTGTTAAGAAGTTTAACAAAATCAACGTCATATATTGACTGACTTAAAAAAAAGCCACCCTATCCAATTAAGCTCTGCCTTTGCCATAGAAATAGAGGCACCTGATTGGTTACTTTAAAAGTTGTTAGAGTGGCCTTTCAAGTCAGCTCCATATATTATACATCACCTGTTCTCTTAACTATAAATATATGTACTGCCTCCGGGGATTTGAACTTGAGATCAATCACTTCAAACACCAGATATTCATCCACTAGACCACTGAGCTACAGTAGCCGCTTCTTATGAGACAGGTATAGTTTCAGTCTTATTGCTTGTATTATTCCGTCGTTGACAGGACCTAATTGATCAGTCTCTATTGGCATATAGGCTCCTGCTCGGATGCCTCGATATTGTCTGTGTCCTCTTAACTGTTTAAGTTAAGCCTTGGGAAGATTCAGAGTAAAAAGAAAGAGTGACCTCAGCGTTTACCTAAACATCAATCTCTTATTCATTATCTCTTCATATACGACACAATCTGGATTGATTTGATTGGCTATTATTATTATTATTATTATTATTATTATTATTATTATTGTCGTCATCATCCCCAACACTTCTGCCACTCATTTCCACTCTATCATGAAAAATGGTTGGACAAAAGCTTCGTTAGTACTATTCATCTCTATATACCAACCGAATCGACACACATATCCGTATTGTACTCACACAATTACGGAATGGCTACAATGTCACCTGTGACCTTTAAATTTCGTATTTACAATCAAGGAAAATTAGAATAACAACTCACATAAACATGCTTACCATATGATAAGAGACAAACAATTTCACACTGAATCATCAGTAATCTTAATTTAACATAACAATGATTACACAGAGAGGATTGGACGAGGAGATTAAGTACATGTCTTTGGATTCATTCATATTTGACTCTTGATTATTTACCTGAAGAAGCTGTAACCGAAATTCTGTGCGAAAAGTTGGGACTATTTCATTTCAAACATACTGTGACTTACACAAATAGGAACTGTCTTATGTCAACCTTTTTTACTCAGCGCTCAATATTTGCGATACTATTCAGTTAAATAATGATTATAATTCATATATATTCAAGATTGGACTGATAGAACATTGAAGACTAGCCAAGTAACAGCCTATAAATACAAAAAGGTTAAAATAGTTAAAGTAGAGGTCAGTAATAGTAACCTGCATGGAAGATGTAAAACATACTATCGATTTGAACAATACTGACATACTGAAGTCTAATATGAGTAAATGGGAAGAAAAATTATTTACTGAGTGCATATATCACACTGACAGCATCTAACATAGGTGACGGTAGGCTTTTGTTAGCCAAATGGAAATATTAAATACATGAAAATCAATTAGAAAAATGTGTAGTTTAAAGATATTCATAAATTATTTAGAACACGAACAACTGTTTTTCATAGGTGAATTCTAAGTCTTCATATCTCATTCTTTTACTTTTTCTGCCTCACTTCCGTGATAAAAACTTGTCTTTATACGTTATTACTTTTATGACCTTGTTTATTAATCCTGTTGCCAGGAATAATTTCCAATCTTAACAGAATACTTCACATTTACTTGTGAGTAATAAAACATACAAATAGATGTACATTCTTCCCAAAAATAGATATCTTCGTTGTGTTGCAATTTATGAGTTGGATGGTTGAATCCTGAAGTTATCTGGATTCCTCTATGAATGATTTGTTATTGACTGTATAGGTTTTCCTATTGGTCGGTGCATCATATCAATGAATTGGATCACTGAATTTTATCAGTCTCATGCTTTTCAAAACATCTGTGTCGTCGGTGAGGTGAAGAGGAAGTCTTTTTAGTCAATTGTGGTTTAAAAGTCATATATAATACTGTAACATCGAAGGATAAGATTAGTTCGTACATGGCTAATAGGAAAACCTATGTAGTCAGTGCCATAATAATCAAAAGAAAGTATCAATCATAAATCACTTCATCAGGGTAAGGTACTTGATTACTCACAGAAAAATTCAGTCAACTCACTTCATAGTGAAGTTTTTCTTGTGGATGTCGTCTAGAAAGATGATACATATATATATATATATATATATATATATATATATATATATATATATATATATATATATATATATACGAAAACTCAAGATTTTGCTTCCTTACGCCGCCACTGCTACTAAGCTTAGTGAATATTGATTACAGCTTAATAGGTGTTGCATTTTTAACGATGCGTAGTACAAAATGAGAAAATGCTTGAAGAATGAATTACCATAAAAAAAGCACAGAAACTAGTAAAATTTGTCATTACTTAAGAAGTTAACCAAAAGGATGGAGAAAACACATTAAAGATTAAGACGATGACATCAGATTATTATACCACATGAAAATTTTATATTTATTTCCTTTGATTATCATTTACTCATAGTATAGACAATTTTATTGTATGAATAATTTCACTTTATTATCTTACATTGACTAGTGTATTTCACCTATTCTCATGGATGTATATCAGTAAGATATGAAGAGCCACTTATTTGAAATCAGTTGTTCATTTTGATTATACTTTTTCTGTATAATAAATGTGTGGTTAAAATTTCAATCATTGTTATATGATCATTGGAGGCTGTTTTGTTAGAAATATTTTCAAAGCTTAAAATTCTATGCAAACAATCATTTATAATTAATGTATAATAAATTGTTTTCCTTATCTGTTGGAACCAACAAAATTAACGGTATTCATTTACTCATTATTCCTAAAAGAAGATGGTTTACAGAGACGAAGGATTCATGTTTGTTTAGGTTGTACTTGTAAAAACTCTATTAAGAGTATTTATTTACTTTGATCGGATGGATGCACTAGTAGCAGCCTACTCACATAGACTCAATATTAGAAGTTACATTCTTGATAAGTAAATCAGTATTTACAAAACTGAATCTCTAATAATTTATTTTCTCTTCAAAATATTCAGTGATTTCCTGAAATGTTAGATTCTCTACTAGTCTATTGTCAATATATTTCTCATCAAAAATCCTTACATGTGTTTGATATTCACAGAATCAAAGCTTTCCCTATACCCAGTACTCAAATTCAAATTTTGCTGCACCAATTTAGCATGATAAGATGGTATAAAATTCCATACAATACTTGGACGCTTGTTTAAATGTTGGCTCTTTAATGACTGACATAGAAAATCAAAGTAGAACCTTGGATACAGGTGAATACACTCAAGTTGCAACACTTCACAGGGGTACACAAATAACAGTTCCATAGAAAAAGAATGTTATCAAAATAAATGAAGCTGTGTGAAGGAATGTACAATCTCGAGAAAACATATAGGTGATTATTCAAGCTTAGAAGATGACAAGGAGTGAATACATCTACACCATTGTGACCAATTTTCAGCCATCTCAACAACAGTTCTCAACCTATCATTCCTTTCGTTTCATCGACCACAACTAGACAATCTACATCTCCCTAAACTACTCAGACCAACAATTGCAAACTTTATGGACTGGACTAGTATCACATCTTATTCTGGTCATTTTGAACTGTCGTCTAACCTAATTGAACATCCCTTAGCATAGCATTGCATGTCGAGGTAGGCTGTGGATTGGCAGGTAGAGTACATGTCCAAGCCTTCTCAGTTGATTAATGTTCACAGCCTCATCAATCGACTTGCCAGTCATGTTGCCTACTACCTTTCGCCCGATTTCAACATTGCTCACATGATGATTTCAATAGATGTCAGCAATGCTATGAAGACATCTGTGATTGAAACAGCATAATCGTTTTATGTCTCCTACCTATAATGGTCATGTATTTCAGCTGTACAACAGGATGCATTGAACCACAGCACAGTATACTCGTGCTTGTCTTCGAATACTGTTAGCCTCTTATTCACTGGCCTTGATTCACTGATACATACATACTTTTATGACTATTAGCATTTAAATTGCTGCTGACTAAAGAATTCATCCAATAGTAGTTAAATAGAATAATCACCTTCAGTAAAATATCTTTATTGAAAACAATTTATTGATATTTCTGTCTGACTAAATAGATCTAAATATCTCAAGTATAAAATAGCTGATATCAAAAGCATATGCAAAGCTAATGAAAATTGGATTAAATAAATCAGTTTTCCATATGATGTAGGGCGTAGAATGCTCCCTTTATATCTAATAGTGCTGCTGGTGGCCCCGCTTCTATCTTTCGTCCATCTTGTAAAACAACTACTAAATCAGAAGTGACTACTGTTGATAATCGATGAGCAACAACTAAACAAGTTCTTGAACCCATAGCAGCATCAAGTGCTTCTTGAACAATACGTTCACTTTCATTGTCTAAAGCAGATGTGGCTTCATCCAATAGAAGTAAAACAGGCTTGCGAACTAATGCCCTGGCTATAGCTATTCTTTGCTTTTGTCCACCAGAAAGCTTCGACCCACGTTGTCCAACTATTGTTTCATATTGCTTAACGATTGAAAGAAAAGATAACAGAATCAGTGTGAATTAAATATTAAAAGTTTTCTTAAATGAATGTTAAATATGCAGAAGAAATTGTCCACTACCATTTCAAGCAGGAAGAAATAATCATGTTTTCTTTAAACTCTACTAAAATAATGGTAGGAAGGACATTTTATAGTACTAACATAAGGACAACAGTGAGTAGAACCTGAGAAATCTGGTTATCGCACATTATGTTTTACTTGTTGCAGTTCCTTATGGATTTTTCTTCTGTAGATGCATTGAACTGTTCAATTTGTAGATTTGTGGGGACTTATTGATTTCAGGTTGACATTCATCATGGACTGACATCAGTTAGTGAAACACCGATAACCTGGGAGCACTAGGCACCTGTTTCGTCCTTGTCAGGGACCTCTCAACAGTGTGCACCCATAACCCTGCCAGGGATCGAACTCAGGACTGTCAGGTTCCGCAACCAGCTTGTTAACGTGGAGTCACTGAGTCAGAATCCAGTCGTCTATATCTTCCGTTTGTGTCAGTTCATGATAGATCGTGACGTTTGTTCAATGCCGTCTTTGAGTATTTGTCCTCACATTCAACTTGGTTGGCTTCACCAGTTGCAACTTTCTGATTATAACTTCGGAAATCACCTCTCAAAGCAAGTCACCAATGAGCACTAGAATTCCTCAATTCGTAGGCATGTGGAGAATTATGAAACCGAGTTGAATAAATAGTTCTCGGATAACATCACAGAACAAAATCAATCCAGAGTTACTTCCAGCTAACAATTGGAATTTTTCAACATAAACTAACACTTAAAAAAAAAAGTACAACAGTTATCAAGCGTGTATGTTTGGAAGGATACTTTGACGTACATCTGGAAGGGTTGAAATAAAGTCATGAATATTGGCTGCACGTGCTGCCTCGATAATTTCATCCATTGTTACCTCCCGAGTATTATCACCATATGCAATATTCTCTCTTATGGTAAGATTAAATAAAGTTGGTTCTTGTGAAACAATAGCGATTTGTTTCCTCACCCAACTTGGTGCAATATTTCTAATATTCATGTCATCAAAAAAATACCGCTATCATCGCCATGATATGATGGGTCATAGAATCGCATTACTAATTGTAGTAAAGTTGATTTTCCACATCCAGAATGTCCAACTAGAGCAACTGTTTGACCAGGTTCAACTGTGTGAGAAAAATTCTGAAAAAAAAACACGAAAATTGTAAAGAAGAACTTGAGCTATACGAATATAAAAAGTAATCGAATCAGCATTTGGTTGAAAATTGAAACGGTCCTACATATCATACAATTAGAAGTAAGTATTATTACACAAAAGTGTCAAATGAACCAACGTAGAACATTGCACAGAAACACATCGCTTCAATTTATCACAATTCACACCAAAGAACAAATTGGTAAGAGAAGAATAATATCAGAGTAAACAAACATGTATGAGAGAAGAAAGAAATTAGCGAATTGAAAGTTAGTTGAAATGTCCAAACACTAAAATACACCAAAGAGTGCACCTATGTGTGCCACTGTGACTGATTTTCAATCATGTCAACAAAGGTTTGTAACCAGTAATTTAGGTCTTCTCGAGGATATTAACCAGACAGTCTGCATCTCCCTACATAGATCAGACTAACAGTCATAGATGTCACGGACTGCTTTTGTCTTGATCTGGAGAACCTCAGTCTTCTTCCAAGCCAATCATACTCCGGCTAACATTGCACATCGAGGTATACGGTGACTCAGCATACGTAACACACATCTAAGCCATCCAAGTTGCTGAAAGTTCATAACCTCATAGACTGACTTGCCTTCTTTTCCCAGTGCCCTTCGCCTGACCGCCATATTGCTCACACGATGATTTCACAAGATAATAGCAATGCTTTGAAGACAATCACAAGTCTACAATCTCTTCACATGTTTTATCTTCGATGATCATATCTGACAGCCGTAGAACAGAAATGCAGCGCAGTATACTATTCCTTGCCAAGTATATGGGTGTCGGAGATGAGGTAAGTTGGCAAACGCACCTTATACATCTGAATAAGGTTACGTCAACAAACAACAAATTCAGGTCGATTTGACTTCTTATTATTTGTCCTTTGGGTTTCTAGTGGAGCATATGGCTTCAGTAATACGTCTCCATTACACTCTGTTCTCTGCAGTCTTTTGAACCTGGCTCCAAGACTACACAGAAGTTCTCATTTATTCCTCACACAATCGACTCCTACTCCGGTTCCACTCAAGTGCATCGTCTAGTACGTCATGTCCCCAGTTGGTCTTCTCAGTGTATGCCCAATCCAATCCATCTCTTGCATATTTATTGGGCAATGGGTTCATGGCCGGTTCATTGTCAGTCACACAGAGTTCCTCCTTCATTATTCCTTCTGGCATTCTGATCTGATCTTCAGTATCGAGTGAGTGTAGGCGGCACCTGTTGATGAATGTCTGTACTTTGTTGGAAATGCTTTCCGTAACACTCCAAGTCTCTCAACTATTACACAGAAGCGCTGAATTGACGTGGGTGTTGAAAATCCAGATCGCCTTCTTTATGTTGAGTGCAGTGCAGAGCAGTGCAGCAAATCTCCACACTGGTTTCTGGTTAATGAAGACCTGTCTTGCTTTTCCCATTCCGGCTTTGACAGCCTCATCTGTGCCATCACCTATAGTTGAGGCGATGCTGCCCAGGTGACTAGGAAGGTGAAAGAAACTACTCCCTTTCGATTTGTCCCCTTCATGATGATTGAGGCTTGTTGTCGTTGTTGTTGCTGTTGGTTGGGTGGGCATCTCCATCAACTCTCTCTTCTTCACGTTCACTTGAAGCAAGTACCGTCTTCGTTGCCCAACCTCGCCTTCTCTGCAAACTTCTTAGTTTTCCCTTGTACATCTTCGAGTCTGTGCCACATAACACATGAGACGTAAATCATCATTTTTGGCGAAATCAAAATCTTCTAGCGTCTTTTCATCCGTCAAACAGCGTATGCCCATCTTCTCACAGATCCATTCCACTGCAGTCGACCACAATCAGGTAGATCATCAGTGATAGTGGGCGGCAATCACCTTGTCTTACCTGCCAACTTGTCTTCACTTCAAAGGCGTCACTCAGCTTTCTATTGTGAATCACCCGACATATAACATATGAGTGCTGTTGAATGAGGTTGATACAGGTTTGTGGCACTAAAACCGTAGTGTTGAAGCAGCTGCCTGCCAAATTACTTGTCGGTCGACGCTGTCGATGAAGTTGAGGAGGAGAATTGACTGACATTCTATGCTGTGTTCTATGATGATGCACAAGGTAGCGTTGCAATTTGATCCGCACATGATTTGTTCTTCCTGAAACTAGCCAACCTGACTGTTTCGGTAGTAATTTTGAATCCAGGGCATTGTTTAGTCTCTACAGGATGATGTGGGATAATATTTTGCTTGGGGTTGACAGTGGTGGAGCATGAGTCTGCGCCAATTCTTGTTGTTGCACAGACTTAAGTCGCCCTTCTTTGGGAGTTTGACAAGGTAGATATTCTTCCAATCAATGGGCAGGTACCTTCCCTTCCTTCCTTCCTTCCTTGCAAACCTTCTGCAGTAGTGGTGTCAGGATGTTTGCTGTTGTCTCTGTATCTATTTTCAGTACTTCTGGAGGGATTCCATCTGGTCCTGCTGCTTTCTTGGATTTCAGCAGCATTATGGCGTTCAGGACTTCGGCTTTTGTCGGAGGGCTTGTGTTCTCTGGTAACTCTGTGACTTCTTAAGTTGATGAAATGGTCAACGCAACTATGTATATCCTGGAAATAATTGTTCTTAGAAAAATTGAGCGAAGTAAACTTGAAACGTTTTGCGAATTCGAAATCCACTTGTAAAAGGATAGCAATTATTAAATTTGTGTTTTTAAACACCAGAACAAGTTCATTCACGATAAAAAGGGCGACAATCAATTTTGTCTTCTTCCTGCAGAAGTGTTTATTACCTTATAAAGTAATGCATCTCAACGGTACGTTAGCTTTCAGATTTAATGAATTTAATTGTATTGCTTGCTATCATACAACAGAAACTTTTCTGGTCTATAATTGAATTCAAGAAAAGACCGTTTGAGCAAAGAAATATATTTCTTTCCAACTAGGTCTTCATCTCTGGCTCTAAACTAATATACGGGTTTACAGTTCAATCAAAATACTAATCATGTGGTGGTGTCGGAGTTGATAAACCATAATTACTGATTTTAAGTCATGAAAATGATAATTTTGAGAAATTAAAATGAAAATAATCAACCTAGTAATTATACTGGATTAAGAATTGTTATTATAACAATGTGAAATAAATTATTCTTACGCGAATGGTAAAGTAAATGGAATGTGATCAGTCATAAACAATAAATAAATACCTAAGAATAAGAAAGGGAGTGAATATTGAACGAAGAAAAGGGGGAAGAGGTGTACAAAGTAATGCTGAAAGTTACATCATGTTGATGACCGCGGTGATGAAAGTGATTGAATACGAAGGTTGGATTGTAGGGGTGGATAGTAATCATATCTGTTATTTGAAGCAAGTGAATGCGTAATTCATGTGGTAAGTTGATTAGTACGCAATGAACACCCTATATGCTTCCACATTATCCACTTGTTGCCCAGTTCAACTAAGTGAACAAGTATGGGACTCTTTATTGTTTTTATTTGTCCCTTGTTCAATTATGATGGGTGGTGTTCAGAAGTTCGACGATGGACAAGCCTCATTGTACGCATAACGTAACTAGCTCTATATGAGCAGTTGAACCAATAGGTGCATGTGTAAGTGGCAGAGTCGGGTAGTGTGTCGTAATTTCTTCCACCTATAGTCAGGCAAAGTGGTTGTGGGAGACGGGACATAATTTAGCCGCTGGAAATGCGTCTTAGCTAGGTTGTTTTCATGGGTTGATTGACGATCCCACAATATCACATTTGAATTACAGTTCCCAGAAGATTTAATTCTTAGAAACTGTTAGCATTCTTGACTCATCCTTAGTAAAAATCATATGCTTAGCTAATAAGTTTACTGGATAGCTATTTCAACTAAGCAGGTCAAGGATGGTGACGAACTCCACTCACATTACCGTGGTTGTCAATATGATATGCTTTGTACACATCTTTCCCCTTTTCTTCTATCAATATTCATTCGCTTTCTTGTTCTTACGTGACTATTTATTGTTTATTACTAATTAATCTACAAAATACGCCATTTACTTTGGAAATTAATTGTTCAATTCGCCTGAGAATAACCTATTTCGCATTATTATAATTACCACTTTTAATGCGATTTAGTCGCTCTATCGATTACTTCAAGCATCTTGATTTCTCAAACTTATCTTCATAACTAGCTTAAAATCTGTAATTATTGTTTATTAACCTCCCTCCAGTTGAGTGGCATTTTAATTGCATCGTAAACCTACATATTAGTTTAGAGCCAAAGACGAAGAACTAATTGGAAAGCAATATATATTTTTTGCTCAATCAGTTTTTCTATTTAAATGTCTATACGTGAATTTACGATAAAGAATTAGCAAAGCGCATTTGATTATCATGGGTAAATGAGACACTACATTTTAAAAAAACTGAATGCAAAACAGCTGATAAACTGCTGACAGAAATGTGCTTTAAAGAGCGCGTTCAGTTACCAGAAAAAATGTTAAAGGTATAATGAATTCTACATTCTCTTAACCTATGCAAACCTAAATCTATTAGTGGAATTACATTCGTGTTTAAAATCTCTGTAGACTTACGGATTTTAAGAAAAGCAGGTGACTGAGATATATCCTTCTTCGACGCTATTCATCATCTACTCACCTTTAAAACTGGCCTTTCTGATCGATTCAAGTATTTGAAATAAACATGATTGAATGAAATTTTGCCCAGAAATGGATTCAATGGTATAGTACCCAAATCAGTTGGGATACGTGGATGTCTGTCTAGAAGTGCAAGTATATTTTTAGCCGCAACTTTTGCTGTTTTAGCACCCATAAATACTGATGCTGAACGACCAAGAGCCTGTGCACTCATAGTGATAACTGAGAAAACCCTTTTGCCAAAATGAAATTGAAAATATGGTTTAAATTCATGTTATAAACTTTACGAGAGAAAAAAAACACATTTATCAAGGTATCCAATACGTTACAATGTTTTATGCAACATTTGAGCACTTTTATTTCTTATTACCTTAGTAAAGCACTGAACGGGTGCTTACCATGTGCAAATAGAGAATAGTTTTTCACTAAATTTCACTTCATATCACATTGTATGGTTTATCCCAACCTACAGGCTCTAAAGAGCACCGTTTTTGTCTAGCCTTCGGCACTGTAGATCATCTTTTACATAACTTTACAATCTTAACTTTCGTTTCGTCTAATAAGCAATGATCTGATAAGTTTGATCAGTAGTATCTATAATTTGATAAGATTCTCGAAAGCTTTGACACATTTCAAAAGCTGGTAATGATTTATATTCATTTTTAACTTTGTGTTCGCGAAAACTGTAGTAAATAGACACCCTATAACTAACATGTTTGACAGCCCTAAGTGTTGGTTACAAAAATAGAACACTTTGAATAGTATTTACTTCCATAGGTACTCACAGTCCAGAAATTCACTGTTTTACAACGTGGTACGCGTGTTTTGAGTTGACTTAATCTTCGAGGTAATATTGGCCTAAGCAAACGCATGGACTCTAAATATGATATTATTTACTGTTCATGTTAGTGAGATAAGTCAAACTTCAATTACTGTGGCAACTTGATGCAGCAGCTCAAAATTATAACTATCGATACTGGGTAATGATTGAAGGTGAAATGAAAATTTGAGTGGCGGGGGATTAGAACCAGGAATATATGAGGTTAGGGGCAGCGAAGATATGACTTCAAGTGAACGTAGAGAAGAGAGAGGTGATGAAGATACCCAACAAACAACAACAACACCAACAACAAGCTCCAATCACCATCAACGGGAGAAACGTAAAGGAAGTAGCCTCCTTCAACCACCCGCCTAGGCAGCACTGTTTCAACTACAGGCGGCACAGGCACAGACGAGGATGTCAGCCAGCCAGCCACGATCGGAAAGACAGCAAGACAGGTGTTCATTAGCCTGAAACCAGTGTGCAGATCTTCTGCACCCAGCACCCAGCATACAGTGTGAACAAGATGCGGATTTTCAACACCAATTCAGTCAAGTCAGTGTTCCTGTATGGTTCAGAGACTTGGTGGCGCGTCACGAAAGGCATTTCCAACAAACTACAGACATTCATCAACAACTGCCTATGCTGGCTCGTTACTCAAGCTCAGATGACAAGGCCAGAAAGAATAAGCAACAAGGAACTCTGGTTGGCTGGGAACGAACCAATGAAGCAAGAAGCTATCGCTGAACAAATATGCATTGGAAGGAGGTGGAGATGGATTGAACTGCGCATATACTGAGACGGCCGACTAGGGACATCACGAGACAGGCCAGTTGCTCGAGTGGAATCCTGATGGGAAGCGATGAGTTGGGCGTCCAGGGCGAGGGTGAGATGGAGGAGATCTAGTGAGGAGTAAATGAGAGGTAGTGGGTTGTCGTGGATCGAGGTTGAAAAGATTGCAGGGAAGAGAGTGGAATGGAGACGTGTTAGTGAAGCCCTATGTTCCAATAGGAACCCAAGGGACAAATAATAATAAGAATAGTATATGGGGTAATAACACAAGGCTCTACCAACTGGACTTCCAAATGCAGCTGTTCACCAGACTCTAATTTCACTTCAATCCATAACAGCATGCTATTTTTTGATGGAAATAAGACGGAATCCAGTCACTGCGAAATCAGACTTGGAATAAGTTTTCATACTACGAAAAGACTAGTGTGTCATTTTGAATCCGATCAGAATGTAATGCGTTGTAAGTGACCAAATATTAAACACTGCAAAGCAGTGGTGGTATCTAATTTTGAATTAAGTACCGAGCAAGCATATAAGACTAATCACAACTTTCTACACGAACACAACCACCTATGTAAGAGCTGACTGAGAGTTGTCACCACAGTCGACAACAACTAGTGATGTCCGCCAGGGGTGTCTACTGTCACCGTTCCTACTTAATTTCATCATATATGAACTAATGGACAAAACCTCAGGTACGTCTGACTTCATATGGACTGATCTACACCCTCGAGGTCATCTGGTTGACTTTGAGTATGCGGACAATATCGTTCTACTAGGTGAAGACGGTGACAAAATACAAGGTCTTCTTAATATACTGACCGAAATTCTGAGCATGCATGGCGTGAGTTTCACTGGCACATATTAGATGTCGGATGACCCTCTAGAACTGGTCTCCAACCCCTCTCAAAATGACGATAGGGTGGAGAAATGTACCAACCACTTCAACTACATGAGAAATTTTTTTCCCTCAGACGGGGTGGTTGTTGACGAAATCTGGCCAGGATACAGAAGGCCCGCTCAGCATTTGCCAACATGCGTCATATGTGGCGCCTATTGGTGAGACATCCAACTATCCGCTTAGCAGTCCATTCTGTTCTCTTATCTGGTGTCAACGCAGCATTGTCCACTTTTTGTAGAATCATCGAGTCATCAATGCTGAAGTTGGGTGAAAGGTAATAGGCAAAATGACTGGCAAGTCGATTGATGAGGCTGTGAACATTAATCAACTGAGAAGGCTTGGACATGTACTCTACCTGCCAATCCACAGCCTACCTCGACATGCAATGCTATGCTAAGGGATGTTCAATTAAGTTAGACGAGAGTTCAAAATGACCAGAATAAGATATGATACTAGTCCAGTCCATAAAGTTTGCAATTGTTGGTCTGAGTAGTTTAGGGAGATGTAGATTGTCTAGTTGTGGTCCACGAAACGAAAGGAATGATAGGTTGAGAACTGTTGTTGAGATGGCTGAAAATTGGTCACAATGGTGTAGATGTATTCACTCCTTGTCATCTTCTAAAGCTTGAATAATCACCTTATAGGTTATCTTCGGATTGTATATTTCCTCACGCGGCTTTAATTACTTTGATATCACTATTTTTCTATCCATCTGTTATTTAGGTACTACTATGAAATATAGCAACTTCAGCTGTACACCTATCTGCGAGGTTCCATGTTGACTTTGTCAGTCAGTCGCATAGAGTGGTAGACTCAGAGAGATCCTCATCATAATAAAACTGAGGAACACAATAGTAAATGATTGCCAAAATGATAAAATGGAACAGCAGTAATGGGACTGCGATGACAGGGATGAAGGAAGGTATGCTTACTATTGACATCTTGTACAGTAGTCACCAAATATGGTACACTCTATATTATTATTATTATTATTATTAGTCCCTTGGGTTCCTAGTGGAACATAGGGCTTCAGTAGCACGCCTCCAGTGACCTCTGTTCTCCGAGATCTTTTGAACCTGGTTCCACGACAGCCCACAACCTCTCATTTCCTCCTCGCATGACCTCCTCCATGTCACCCTCGGACGTCCAACTCGTCGCTTCCCATGGGGATTCCATTCGAGGGCCTGACGCGTGATGTCCTCAGTCGGCCTTCTCAGTGCATGGCCAATCCATCTCCACTTCTTCCTGCATATTTGTTGGGTGATAGGTTCTTGGTTGGTTCGTTCCCAGAGTTCCTTGTTGCTTATTTTTTCTGGCCATCTGATCTTCAGCAGCGAGCGTAAGCAGTTGTTGATGAATGTCTGTAGTTTATTGGAAATGCCTTTCGTGACGCGCCAAGTCTCTGAGCCATACAAGAGCACTGACTTGACGTTGGTGTTGAAAATCCGTATCTTGTTCCACATGCTGAGTGCGGAAGATCCCCACACTGGTTTCAGGCTAATGAACGCCTGTCTTGCTTTTCCAATTCTGACTTTGACGTCCTCGTCCGTCCCGCCTGTAGTTGAAACAGTGCTTCCTAGATAAGTGAAGGAGGTTACTTCCTTCAAGTTTCTCCCGTTGACGGTGATTGGAGTTTGTTGTTGTTGTTGATGTTGGTGGTGCGGTATCTTCATCACTTCTGTCTTCTCTATATTCACCTGAAGTCCCGTCTTAGCTGCCTCTTCTGTCAACTTGTTAGTTTTTGCCTGCAGATCTTCAAGTTTATGTGACATTAGGCATAAGTCATCGGCGAAATCCAAGTCTTCTAGGTTCTTTTCCGTCGTCCAGTGTATCCCCCTCTTCTCGCTGCCTACTGTTTGCTGCATGATCCAGTCCACCACAATAAGGAATATCATGGGGGATAGTAGGCAACCTTGTTTCACTCCTGTCTTCACTTCAAAGGCATCACTGAGCTTCCCATTGTGGATTACTTGGCATGTGGCATCTTCATATAGTTGTTGAATGAGGCGGATAAAGGTTTGCGGTACTCCGTAGTATTGAAGCAGTTTCCAAATTACTTCTCGGTCGACGCTGTCAAAGGCCTTCTCAAAGTCGATGAAGTTGAGGTATAGAGCTGATTGCCATTCTACGCTCTGTTCTATGATGATACGAAGCGTTGCAATTTGGTCAGCACATGATTTGTACTTCCTGAAGCCTGCCTGTTCCGGTCGCAGTTTTGAATCCAGTGCGTCTTTAAGCCTCTCCAGGATGATGCGGCTTAATATTTTACTTGGGGTGGATAGGAGAGTGATTCCTCGCCAGTTCTTGCAAGCACTGAGGTCTCCCTTCTTCGGCAGTTTGACAAGGTAACCCTTCTTCCAATCGACAGGTACCTTCTCTTCCCTCCACACCTTCTGCAATAGTGGTGTGAGCATGTCCGCTGTTGTCTCTGCATCTGTTCTCAGTGCTTCTGGCGGTATTCCATCTGGTCCTGCTGCTTTCCCGCATTTCAGTAGCTTTATGGCGTTCAGAACTTCCATTTTCGTTGGGGGATTTATGTTCACTTGTAATTCAGCGGCTGCAGGTGGTATTTCTGGACGAAGTGCAGGTGGTGGTCGATTCAAGAGCTTCTTGAAGTGGTCGGCCCATCGTTTCCTCTGTTTCTCTTCTTTTGTAATTAAATTTCCTTCTTCATCTTTTATTGGTTTCATCTGTGTTGGTCTCTTCCCTGATAGCAACCTGGTTATTTGATACAATGTCGTCAGGTCTCTCTTACCTGCAGCCTGTTCTGCTTCACTTGCCAGTGTGTCGTAGAAGTGTCTTTTGTCTTTGCGTGCACTCTTCTTCACTTCTTTATCCAGTGTTTTATACATTGTGCTCAGTTCCTCTTGTCGTTGAGCATCCTTGCACTGGTTTATCTTCTGTTTCACCATCCTCCTCTCCTCTATCAGCTTCCAGGTATCCGTCGAGATCCATTCCTTGTCTTCCACCTTCTTCCTTCCTAATACTGTTGTGCAGGTTTCTTTCCACATAGCTTTCAAAGACTTCCAGTGTTCTTCTACACAGGTTTCTTCAGGGATGTCCCTCGACGTCTCCCATTTTGTCTTGATGGCTGCTTTGAAGGTCTCCTTTGTAGTTTCATCCTTCAGTTTCCGAGTGTTGTACTTGAATTGAGGTCTATCACCAGCTTCCTTGAAGGCTTTCAACTTGATTTGGAAGGTTCCTTGCACTAGATAGTGGTCTGAACCTACATCTGCTCCTCTTCTTGACCTTGTGTTAAGTAGACTGCGTCTCCATTTTCTTGAGATTGAGATAAAGTCGATTTGATTTTTAGTGTGTCCATCTGGTGAAGTCCATGTCGCTTTGTGAATATCCTTGTGCCTGAACACACTGCCTCCAATCACCAAATCGTTGAATGCGCAGAATTCTGCAAACAATTCTCCATTCTCATTCATTTCACCTAGCGCCTCTCGACCCATGGTTAGTTCTCTTCCCGTGTTGTCCCCTCCCAGTTTGGCATTCATGTCGCCCATTAGAATTTTGATATCGCCAACTGACGTCTTGTCCAGTGTTGACTGAAGTTGTCTGTAGAATTCCTCCTTTTTCTCTTGCTCTGCATTATTTGTAGGTGCATAACATTGTATGATTGTGACCTTTCTTCCTTTTGAGTTGAATCTTGCTGTCATGATCCTGGAGGAGATTGGTTCCCACTGCATGAGAGCCTTCGATGCTCTTGAGGACATCATGATAGCCACTCCCTCAGTGTGCTCGTGGTTGGCGTCTGGGTGACCAGAGTAGATTATTGATTCTCCAGTTGACAGTTTGGAGAGTCCACTCCCATTCCATCTGCTCTCGCAAATCCCAAGCACTTCGATGTTATACCTTCTCATCTCCTTTGCAATCTGGGCTGCCTTACTGGGTTCAAACATCGTGCGGACATTCCATGTCCCCACGTTTACTTTCGCTTTCATCGAGAGAAGACACATCGGCCAATTGGCTTCCCGAAGGCTTTCACCAACTGGCGTCATTTCGCCTCTCCGATTCCAGCGGGGAATAAGTTTGTTTTCATTTTTTATATTTTGTTTGTGCTTTGAAGTTTCTTTAGCGGTTAGATTTGTTTTACGGGGTAGGGTTGCTAGCCCTATGCCCAACCTTCCCTCTTTACCCGGGCTTAGGACCGGCTAGTAACTAGTAAACTAGTTAACCAGGCGAGGTTACACTCTATATTAAGACAGTCATTTGCATAATGTGCTTCATTTCCTTCTCTGCTTCTATCGTGATTTGCTTTTAACACGCTTGCGTTTCTCTGGGCAGAATCCTTACCTATTGCTAATAATTCCGTATGATATCTGCTACCCTATCAACATATACTACTTATATGCATTCTGATCAGCAACGCCCACCACAGTAGTATATATATACATAGTTTGAAATAAGTGTTTTCTAATCACTTTGAAAATATTGTTCACAACGATGAGAAATCTGTCCATTTTATATATGAATTTAACTCATCAGAATATTGTCTACCAAACCATATGCTAGTTAATGAGCTAAGAATCGACTTTTATTTCAGACTAATTGGACTGCAACGAATAAATAAAGTTTACCTGAATACTGCCAACAGTTGTATTGTATTTGTTGAGACCAGGTATGCACCAAGAGCAAATGCGGCTGCAAATGAAAACATCTGCACAGACTCGGTGAGAGCATACATTAGAGCGTATAATATTGACTTCTTCACATTCTTTCTAAAATATTAAGCAAACACCTTCATTTACAACTCTCAAGATGTTTATCATTGAATAGTGTAATCATTCCATATTGATCTTCAGAAATGAATTTGGATATATGCCAATAAAGTTAACTGACCGTTTGATTGAATACATCTACTTCGTCTTACCTAGTAGATTTCAGTTAGGCATATTTGTTTGTATTCCAGGTCGGATACAATTCTAGTTGTTATCAGTTAAATTACTAAAGGTAGTTAGGCAAAACTTATCGGCCTAGTCAGTGATTTTTTGAGGCTCTTAGAGATGACCGATGTATACGGTTATCCATGAATCATTGAAATATCCACACATCCACCATAAAGTTTTGAGGAGATAAAATAAGTCTTGGATCCCACTGTTTGAAAACCTCCCCTGAGATATTATATTTAAACTATGATCAAGACTTTACCTAATTGTTATAAACCCCTAGTTTTGCCTGATCTTTGACGATAACTTAAAAATAACTCTTTTATTGTTGTTTTCGAGCCTTCTTGCCGCGATTGTTGGCTTTCGTTTTCCCTATTGCTTCCGAAGACTGAACTAACATTGTCAAATCTTTTAACTTCTCATTGAATTTAGTGTTTGTTAAGGTCATTTAGGATATATATATATATATATATATATATATATATATATATATATATATATATATATATATATATATATATAGTATACATGGAAGGCGCCTTAGAAGCATTATGAAGAATTCTCAACAAGGCTGGGATTAAACTGGCATTTAAACCAACAAACTAGCTTAGAAACAAGTTATGTAGGTTAGATGGTCTCATCGATGCAATTAAGCAACATAATCTGGTTTACCAAATCCCTTGCAATGATTGCGAGGTCAAATACATAGGTCGAAGCAGTCAACCAGGGTCGATCAGAATAACAGAGCACAAAAGCTTAGCTAAATCAAGATTAGTAGATCCTAATAAGATAAGAAATTTAGAGAAAAGTTTGGTTATAGCTCTGCACACAATTACACACAATCACACAGTAGGGCAGAGCGACAGTGTTGAAAAATAACTTGTGTGGGTGGGGGGAGAGAGATTGATAACCGAATCTTTGTTTATAAAATCAACACCAAACACATGCAATTGAAATAATTGTGCACCTGTCCCAGATATATGGAAAATTCTACTACCCTTGTCATCACAGAGAAGGAGAAAGAATTAGGAATATATAAAATCGCTCTCTAGTCCGAGTCTCGGTGGTAACAACATCACTCATTGAGAGGCAGGTACATCCAGCTGATGAGTCCCAAATAAGACGAAATGCGCATCCTGGATTCCATCGCTAGCCACTGCCCATCATTACTATATATAAACTCTGTTTGAAGGTTGTGAAGTTAGCTACCTGATATGAATACGGAGAATAAATTGTGTCCGAAACGTTATCCAGTAAATGCTACTGTTTCACTGTGTGATAGTTCTAATAAACAGACTAAAATGATCTGTTTTGCTTTTGTGATTGAAGATCCTTTTAGTGAACAGTTGCTTAAAGGTATTTGATCCGATTGACTCATCATTGAAGAAATGAAGAGCTTCTTAGGTCATGTTTCAGTTAATTGGACATCACGTGATTTGATTGGTCTACCGACAGGTTTAAAAGGGGTTATGAAAATGTATTTTATATCAGCTGCAATGATTACACTTTCCTGTACCGTTTTAAGATTTGAAAATAAGTATTGATGAGTAGTGTCTAGCAGCGGAATCCAGGATGTGCGTTTCGTCCTATTTGAAACTCATCAGCTGGATATATCTGTCTTCCAGTGAGTGTTATTCCCACCGGGACTTGAACGAAATCTGAAAACAATTTATTATTTTTATTGCAGATGACCAAAAACGCTACTTTTTTATTTCTGCATTTTCTAGCTATTCTTCAACTCAAACATAGATAAGTGAAATATCTTCAGATGCATTTTGTAACCACTGTGCACCATACTAAGTAAATATTAGAGAAGCCAGTAACTCCAAGACCTTATCTTAAAGCAATTTGACTACATATTCTATGTTTTATTTCTGGCCGAAAACCAAAGTCACACAGAAAACTTTCTAAAAAAAGGTATCTATTCAAAGTTTTTGAAAGATATAAAAATTATAACTAAAATACTTACTTATAGTTTTCAATGGCAAATGACTTGAAACGCTTATGAAAATAATCCTCTAGAGTGAGTGTAGTTAGTGTACGGTTTGAGCCGATAGCCTCTTGAGCGATTCTCATTGAATTATTCGTTTTCTTATCTCTACCCCCTCCTCCTGACATAGATCTCATCTAGATGTAGCATGGAAGACATTCTATCAAGTGAAATTTAGATGATTTTGTAAGATAAAAAAAAAAAATATTCCACTCTTCATAACTGTACAGTCGTAAATTGTACACTTTTGTTCAGCTATATAGGTAAGCTACTAGAAATATTTTTGGATAAAACCAAAGAACAAGCTGAACATAGGTTAAAAAGTTTACAAATGTGATAAAAGGTGAAAATTAGTCACAGAATAGCATAGAAATAAACATAATTAAAGTTGCGTAATATGTAAAATTGATTTTCACTAGTAGCATGCAAACAAAATGAAGACGATGTTGACTTATCAAATTGTGAATCATAAGTGCGAAAGAGGAGAGGTCGATGTATTGTTACTAAGTCCAATGTAGCAACAAATGTTGAACAAGTTTCTTTTGTAAACATAATTCCAGTTTATTCATATATACAGAAAGATTTTCTGCAGTACAGTGAAGGCGACCAATTTTAGGCGAATTTCTTTTCATGTTTTCGCTTATTTTGAACGCTGAATCAGTTATGATGCTGTGACCAGTGTTGACAAGATGTTCAATTATTGTACTTTTGATCAGTTCACTCTCACCTCTTTGCATTTAGGTGAGATAAAGTTCTGTATCCTGTTTGCAAAGAATAATCATCGAATTACCTATATATCTGGCTGTATAGGAGCAGGTAAACTGAAGTGAACAGAAGTGGAAACTTATTCTTCGGATAACCACGACACATTGGAGAATACTATCTCTAAGGTTAACGCAAAGAAAGTTTTTTTAGAAGAGTATGAAATTCTTGTTTTCAAGATATGAGCAGCTAGGTCGCCTCTGAAACCAAGATTCATGTATAGTATCTTCTTTTGAACTGGAATGGGTAACACTGTTTGCGGTTTGGTTTTCTGCACAAATCGTGCTGGGTATGCGTTTTCAGGCTGAACCTTTTTAAGAAATATGAGTTCTTCAAAGCTATCACTGCTGCAGATTCTTTGATTATGATAAACAAGGGACACGACAAGTATTCTTTTTAAACTTATAGGCACTCAACTGTAGGAATTCATCAGCTGACCATACTACACAGGTTTCCTGTAGATAAACCTCTTCATCTCATCCAGTTAGTTATTCATCCAAAAGTAGACCTCTATCTCTCTTTTGTTGTTGACAATCTTGTCGGATTTTGTAATAGATTTTAATAATTCAATATCGTCTTCATTTCGTTTCCATGCTACTCATGAAAATCAATTTTACATATTACGAAACTGCAAAAATTCCCATTTAGATATTCAGTAAAACAAACAATGTGAGCGAAGAAATATTTCTTGTCAACTAGTTCCTCATCAATGGCTCTACACTAATATAGCATTTTCAAATGTGAAATTACATACCAATCTAGTGGTGAGAGTTGTTCAATGAAAGGTTATCAATCTCAAAGTACCAAGAAGGTGATAATTGATCAGGTAATTAAGACAGTTAACTAAAGTAAAGATTAATTATCGTAGAAAGATTTTGTGAACAGGTTCTTACATAACTGATATTTTGTATAATGGTAACTAAAGAGCGAAAATGAACTGTTACGTAAAATGGTAAATTGTTGACTGTTATTAGAGACAGTAGAGGGAGAGAAAGATGGTTAAGCCTGTAATAGTAATAATAATAATGGAGCTATTAAAATATTAGTTATAGTGAATTGTGTGGTGGATGAAATGAAGAGTCTTGTTGTAATAAATGAGCTATACAGATGGTCAAGGCAAAGAAAGAGGCTGTACGAATCTCTTCTGAACACACAGACTTGGCTTGTGTAGGTGGATTCCTATGGCTTCTGCTGTATGTAAAAGACGAACCCGTAGAGGATGGGTGAGGTGAGAAGGAATGTGATAAATAACTTTAAAGGTATTATGAATGTTAACTCGGTGGCCGGTGTCAATCAGATGACAGAGTATTGAGCTTCTTATCAATCTGGTTTCCCCCTTACTTAGCCATGAAGGATGATGCTCGGCGATTCGATGACGGACTTGCCTAACTGTACGTCTAATGTAACTAGCTCCACAGGAGCAGTTGAACTGGTAAATGCACATAGAAGAGGAGAAGTCAGGGAGTCTGTCTTTAGTTCGTGTGGTCATCATCGGCCAGCTGTAGAAAACACAACATAAGTTGGCGGCATTAAATGATCTTCTTATGGCATTTCTTAAGCGTTGTGTCACAATTTCGCTGATGATGTCACATCGAAATTGTTGTCTTAGGAACAATGGTTTCTTGGAGACTGTAGACATTCTGGTTTTCATATTGGATGTGTTCATATTTTTAGCCAGGAACGTTTCTGGATATCCATTACTACTGAGTAGATCGTGGATAATTTGAAGCTCTTCGTCAAAAGTATCATCTGAACAGATGAGTCTCGCCCGATGGACCAAACATTTAACGAGATTTCGTTTATATTGCAAGGGGACGAAACTCAAGAAGTGGGTGTATTGACCTGTTGACGTTGGTTTCCGATACACACTTCTTTTCATAGTTCCATCCACCTTCCTTGTCAATCGGACATCTAAGAAGGTGATGCTGTCGTCACTTTCTGTTTCAATAGTGAAGGTTATTGCTGGATGGACGCCATTGAATTCATTCAGTATGATCCTTGCACTGTCCTCGTTATTCACAATCAAGAATGTATCATCTACATAATGGCAATAAAATTCTAACCCGCTTATGATGCTTTCCAGAGGGCCATTTTCTAATTTTGCTAAGAAGAAATCAGCTAAGATCGGGCCTAGTGGTGACCCCATAGCGACACCATCTGACCGTCTATAGAATTCCTTATTGAAGAGAAAGTGTATATTCATTGTACATTGTACCTTCATAATGCCTTTAAAGTTATTTATCACATTCCTTCTCACCTCACCCATCCTCTACGGGTTCGTCTTTTACATACAGCAGAAGCCATAGGAATCCACCTACACAAGCCAAGTCTGTGTGTTCAGAAGAGATTCGTACAGCCTCTTTCTTTGCCTTGACCATCTGTATAGCTCATTTATTACAACAAGACTCTTCATTTCATCCACCACACAATTCACTATAACTAATATTTTAATAGCTCCATTATTATTATTACTATTACAGGCTTAACCATCTTTCTCTCCCTCTACTGTCTCTAATAACAGTCAACAATTTACCATTTTACGTAACAGTTCATTTTCGCTCTTTAGTTACCATTATACAAAATATCAGTTATGTAAGAACCTGTTCACAAAATCTTTCTACGATAATTAATCTTTACTTTAGTTAACTGTCTTAATTACCTGATCAATTATCACCTTCTTGGTACTTTGAGATTGATAACCTTTCATTGAACAACTCTCACCACTAGATTGGTATGTAATTTCACATTTGAAAATGCTATATTAGTGTAGAGCCATTGATGAGGAACTAGTTGACAAGAAATATTTCTTCGCTCACATTGTTTGTTTTACTGAATATTACGAAACTTTAATTATGTTAATTTCTATGCTATTTTGTGACTAATTTTCATCTTGTACCACAGTTATGAACTTTCAATCTTCATCCAACTTGATCTTTGTTATTGGCTTTAATTAAGTAATTTTTGTAGCTATCTCATATAATTTAACAAAAGTGTATAAACTGTGATTGTACAACTGCAGAGAATGAAATCGCTCAACTTCTCTGATGGATATTTCTAGTAATTTGAAAGTGATAAACAAACTTTACTTTAATGAATAACTAATAACACACTATGGCAACGGTATACCACTGAGATTTTTAGTTTTGTGCTTTCTTTAAGATACATACATGATAAATGATATCAATTTAACTGAATATTCCTGATCGAAAATGAATTTGTTTGGGATATTAGTGCACTGTAAAGAACCATGTGGATTTCAGGCGAAATAATAGCGATAACAACGAAAATAATAATAATACTGATATCGGGGTGAGAAGTTAATTGGTCGAGGGTAGATAACTCATTCTGAACACGAAAGTTGGTAGTTACTTAAGACGATATCTTAAGAAAACCAAGTGTATGGCTAATAATGATGGTAAAAGTAGTAATATGTATAGGGTGAATTAAACGAGGTAACTCAAGGACGGATCACCAGAAGTATAAGACAGGGGTATTAATGGAAGACAAATAGCAACTACTATAGACAAAATCTGATTAGATGGCATTACAATCACTACCACGGTAGATTCACGATAATTACCATTTCCTTCTAAACGCAGAGGTTTAGTTCAACAACTGGAATCGTCTAATCATATTTTGTCTTTCACACTTACTCTTTACCTTCAATTATCGTAAAATTCAGAATCAGTGTGCGCAACTAGACTTTCATACTTCTGGCTATATATTTTCATCGAAAAGTTTTTGATTTTGGTAAACTAAAACATCACACAGTAATGACAAGTTACATATTAGTCTTGTCTATCTGTCTGTTGTTGATAAATTTTGCATTATTCAGTCAATCATCTCTGCCTAGATGCTGGATATTTTGGCTTTGCTGAAGCAGTCACTCATTCAGTTCCGGTCAATATTTACTAGTTAACAACATACATAGATGTAAGTGTACTCAATCACTTCAAAAACGTGATCCGTGAAATCAAGTAACCAAGAGGTCAACAGGTGTTTAACCATTGAAACCTTCTCAATAATCGTGTCATGTGTTAAATTCTACTGCGTATTCTTAGATAGTTGAGAATTTCAGAAAGATGACTCCGAAAGCCTTTTGCCTCTTGAAGTAATTGATACGCTGGAGTAGCTTTAATCTATAACATAAACGTCTAAATAAATTCCTTTGGATGGAAAACCAACACAGCCTACGGAAAAAGAAACAAGCCTTGACAACTGTAGGGACAATCTGGTAATATTCAAAATATGCTGCACAAAAAGTTGAAGAAAAACAGTCAAAACTGTCATGTACAAGCATTTTATGAAGAGAGAAGGAATATATGAGCGCTTCTCCATACACAACAGACACTTGGAAAAGGTCATAAACAGTCTTTTACAAATACAGTATTTTATGGTGACCGATCAGTATCAACCCAGGAATTATGACACAGCTCCTCAAGTAAACAAGTAGGATGGTACCTTTTTAAAACCTGTCAGTAATAAAAACCTAAAGGCAGAATTCGACTCCGTCAACCTAGAGGTGTTACGGCAATGTCTCTCACTAAAAGAGGCACCAAGTAAGTAAATAACTTCATTGAAGGTTCTTTACTCGAACACCTGTGAACCTGTTAGAAGTTATGGCTAGTTGTAAGGTGGGTCCAGTAATATCCGTCAAGGATGTCCGATCTCTCCATTCATACCCAACTCTTTCATTGAGGTACTAATGAAGGCTCCCTTCTCTTCATCTGAATTTACAGAGATTTACCTTGTCACAGAGGGGTCTTTAGTAGATCTGAAGCATGCAGATAATAGGGTTCTTTTAGGTGAAAACGCTGACAAGATGCAGTCTCCTACATATATTGAGTGACACTTCATGAATGTCTAGGGTACGTTTCTTGTCATCCAAATACATATTGTTGGTCTGAGCTGGGTCGATGCTTAGCGATAGGGAGTGATTTGGTTGAATGCATTGATCCTTTCACCAACCCAAAAAGTTGAATCAGTCCTGACGGTTCAGGGACCAACAAACTCCTCACACGGATACAAAAGGTTCTATTGACTTTTGCCAACTTACTCTACTTCTGGTGCTGCAGATTACCTTTCAGGGGATAGTGTACTGTGTAGCAGTTTACTCTGTTCTACTATATGAATAAGAAACATACCCATTAACAGTAGGACATATCAAAAGATTTCAGGTAATCGCTTACCGTTGTCTTCGTAGCATAGGCTGTGTCATGCTATCACTGTGCCAATAATAAAGAAGTCAGGTGTAGAATTTTAAGGAGAGCAGGATATTTAGTTGATGAGATTGCGAACCTTTGTCGACTGAGACGGCTGCGACGAGTTTAGCATGCCTGTTCGCCGTCTTCCTCATCGCTCAATCACTGAAGTAGGTATAGGCGGGAAAATAGTTAGGGAAGGCCAGACTGAAACATAGTGTCTCTGTGTGAAGTCATCAGCTGTTGGTCTTAATCATGTTGGGAAACGTAGACTTCCCAGCTGTGGTCCGTTTGGCAACAGAAAACAATAGGTTGGAGTCTGTAAGCGGCATGCTTCAGAATCAATCTCAGTGTCGCATATATACCCATATGTTATTATTATTATTATTATTATTATTATTATTATTAGTCCCTTGGGTTCCTAATGGAACATAGGGCTTCAGTAGCACGTCTCCAGTGAACTCTGTTCTCTGAAATCTTTTGAACCTGGCTCCACGACAGCCCAGAAGCTCACATTTCCATACCCATATGTTACCTAAATCTATATCGTTTTGCTAAAATTTAGTATCCTCTCATTCTTCCTTTCACTCCGTTCACTGAATTATACCACCTTCTTCATTACTTCATCTTTTTTATCTCACAGCATTGCCGCTTGATGTAATAACATGAGTTGTAGTAAATTAGGCCATCGTGCAGTAAAGACAAGTTATACATTAGTCTTGTCTGTCCGTCTGTTGGTGATAAAGTTTACATCATTCAGTCAATCAACTTCGAGAACTCAACATTTAAGAAGTACCAAGAATCTATTTAGCATACGGATGCAGAAGTTACAATGACACGAACCACAAGTTCCGTCTTCTGTATGCTTAACTACTTTCGACAGATTTCTGCACATATCTCAGACATTTATATAGGGACGCTGACTGTCAGGAGTCAATCGTCAAAATATCTTTGACCTGGCTTTCGTACTTGTCGGAACTTATCAGTAACTCCCTAGTAGTTCTCAATCATCAACGCTGGTTGAAGTCTTTCGATCAGGTATCCCACCACTCAGCTTAATAGCCAAAATAGAAAATCCAACGAAAGACATCAATCAACTTTGAGTAATGATGAACACTGATCAGCTACATCAATTAGTCACAGATGATCCACTTGCGCACATGTATGTATCTTCAAGGAAACCAATTTTCTGAATCGATAACATGAAAAGAAAGATCCAAAAATAAAACAGATGAAAATTCTACTTTCAGAAGGTTCATTGAAGAAGTACTTCAAATCACTTAATGTGACCATGAATGATGATAGAATGCAGAAATATTACTACACATAATAAATCAATAAATGAAGTGATTATTTTCTTTCAGATATTTAACTTATTTGACTCTTCTTATACAACCAACTTCATCGAAAATCTTGCAAAAGAGTAAATTTTACAACATGATAAATTTATGTTAGTTGGTTAGAGGCAATCGGCAGGAAGCTCTGGACCTAGGTTTCATGCCTTCTGGCACTCGTCAGCAAGGCGCATCTTCAACCTCGACGGAACTGATGTCCCGCCTGAGATTCGAACTCGTGTCACTCAGTGTTGTAGTCAGCGAATTTACCACTGAGCTATTCTACTAATGTGTACCGCGATGCTGAGCTTCCTAGCTTGGTTGCCACATTGCAAACATGATCGATAGAATTCGGTCTGCACTCAGGACTAGACAACATGAAATTGGTTGCACTCCCATGACTAGTCAACACATGTAAGCCAGTCCAACAGGAGGTCAGTCGCGGCCCGAATAGCTCAGTGGTAAATTCGCTGACTACAACACTGGATGGCACGAGTTCGAATCTCAGGCGGGACATCAGTTCCGTCGAGGTTGAAGATGCGCCTTGCTGACGAGTGCCAGAAGGCACGAAACCTAGGTCCAGAGCTTCCTGCCGATTGCCTCCAACCAACTAACATCTACTAATGTGCACCGCAATGCTGAGCTTCCTAGCTTGGTTGCCACATTGTAAATATGATCGACAGAATTCGGTCTGCACTCAAGACTAGATAACATGAAATTGGTTGCACTCCCTTGACCAATCAACACATGATAAATTTATATATATGTGCTGACCATAAATTTTAAAAAAAACATGGCTAACAACCTGTAAAACTCCTCCAATAACGATAAGTGGATAGAATGCAAGTATAACAAGCGTTAATTGCCAACTATAAATAAATGCAACAATAAGAGACATCAGTATTAAAGCTAGAGCTTCAACTAGGAAACCCATTTGTGAACCTGAAACCATTGCCACCTTTGCTGCATCTGTTGCAAGTTTTGCAGTTAATGCTCCAGCCTGATTTTCAGGTTCATCAAACCATCCAACTTCCTGGAAGAAAAGAAGAAAAAAAACATTTCAATAAATAAGCAAATGAGGGCCGGGGGGGGGCTAAAGAAAAAAAACGACACCTAATTGATACGAAATTACAGTTGACTTACCTGACGCAACATTGCTTCAAAAACCATAGAACGTATACGCTTGACTAATTTTTCTCCTGATTTTCCGAAAAGAAATCCCTAAAAGAAGAAAGGAAATTCAATTAGTTTTAATGCTAAAAACAAGTATTACTTTTTGTCAGAGTGAAAAAAATACACATTCTATACTCCAACCCGATGGCTGAATGTTTAATACATCCGCCGTGAAACCTGAGAGTTCTGAGTTCCATGCTTGACGAGGCTGTGGATGTGTTGATAGATGACACACTTGTGCACCTTGTTCACATTCAAGCAGTAGGCAGTGAGCCATGCCTACTCTGTCATGGCCATTGGTGATAATATCTGGCTCCCTAAACCTCGGTAGGTGGAGCGGGGTTCGAAATAGTGACCCTAAACCATTGACCTACATCTCCACTCGTGGATATGTACTGCTGTGGAGTCTCACACTAGGACGAAACAGCTATCCAATGCTCCGAGGTTTTCAGTTGTTTTCCAACTGATGTCTATCCGTGATGAATACAATCTTAAGAGTATTATATCGCTAGTTGTGTGTTTTGATTCACTCTGCAACCTGTGATAAAATACTACAAAGTATCACTTTTTACAATTCAAATATTACTCATATATTACTAATTATTGATATACATGTAATTCTCCGTTGTTTTATTGGATCGAATTGTTCGACCTCTATTGGCATATGGGCTCCTGTGCGGATGCTTCGATATTGCTTGAATGTTAATTATGGTAGTTTGGCTGGTTGTGGTTAGCAAAGGAATCCAGGACGCGCGTTATCGTCCTGCTTGGGACTCGTCAGCCGGATGTGTTTCCAGCCCAGTACGGAGTAATGTTGTTTCCACTGAGATCCAAACATCGTACCCATTGCTCCAGATGCCAAAGTATCTCAAATAGGACGAAACGCGCATCCTGGATTCCTCTGCTAGCCACAACCAAACAAAGTACCATAATTACTCATCTACTTTAAATATTTTCCTTAGAAATTGGATTTTTGACTACTGTATTTCATAACATGTTTCATAATGTGTTCACACACTATTCAAGGGAATAAAAGATTTAATTACTCCTTGCAAGCTACTACATGCTTATCAGTTGTAAAAAAACAAGCATTTTAAAAAGATTGATATCAGGCACATAGGATAAATTCTATAGAATGTGTGATCACTAGATAGGATCCAATTTCATGTTGTTTAGTCCTCAATGAAGATCGAATTCTATTGATCATTTTGTAGCACGCCCACCAAGCTAGGAAATTCACCATCGTGGTACCCTTGGATTGGTGTTAGTTGGATGAAGGCAATCGCCAGATTGCCCTACATCAAGGTTTCATGCTTTTTGGCACTTATCGGTAAGACGTATCTGCAACCTCGATGAAACTGATGTCCTCTGTGGGATTCGAACCCGCGTCATTCTGTGTTAAAGTCAGAGACGTTACCACTGAGTTATTTGGATAGACTGTGTAATCAAAACGCTGAAAGTTATATAAGTGCTTCTAAGGACATGAAACAAAGTCACCAGTATTGTTTTTCTTCTCTTATCCTCCTATCAATACTCATTTAGTTTCTATTTGAATACTGAAGGCTAAATACACAATGTCAGCTTTTATGTGTAACGTTGTCGATGAAACAGCACTGCATTCAATTTACAACAAACATCTCTTAAAAAAATTACCGTTTGTTGATGATTGTAATTCTCCCTTGTTATACTGCATCGAATTTATCGATTACTGTTGCCATATGGATTCCTTTGTGGAGGCCTCGAAAGTACCTGAATATTTATTGTTATGATGGACTTGGTTGTGGCTAGCAGTAAAGTCCACAACTCATGTTTCGCCCCATCTAAGACTTGTCAGCTGGTTTTACTTGCACCCAAGTAAGTGATGTTGTTCTCACTGAAACTCGAACCCAGTACTCGTCGCTTCAGACACCAAAGTGTTATCCACTAGGTCACTGAGGCACAATAGCCATGTCTTGTACGACGGATATTATTGGCCTAGTGGAAAACGCATTGGCATTTGAAGCGATGGCTGCAGTGTACAAGTTTCAGTGCGAACAACATCACTCACCGACGTGCAGTCACATCCAGCTGAAGAGTCCCAAGCGGGAAGAAACGCACGTCCTCAATTTCACTACTAGCTACAATCAAAAGTCAATCATCTTCCATTAGTGTTGATCATATTTTGTGACAATTAATATACTAAACCACTTGTTATGAAGATGCGGTTCAAGGGCTTAGGAATCAACTTTCAAGTAGTGGGTGGCGGCTTCCATTCCCGCTCCACTTACTCTTCAGGCCAAGCAACCAAATAACGTCATAAGTGTGAATAAAAGTGTATTGCGCACAAATGTACTGAGTTGAGTTCCATTACTATTTACACTGACTAAGACGCCTTAATGATTATCATTTCGATTATCTGAGACAGCCACGGTTTGGCAGACTAGTATTTATATTGTGTGATGATTGAAGGTGAAATGAAAGTCCGGACCAGGTCTGGACTCAAACCAATGAACACTGGGTTTCCGACTCGATGCTCCGTCTCTCTAATTTATTCAGATTTGGATTTGAATGAGAAGTTCTGACCAGGCAGCCAATATCAATACGATCGAACGGTAGCAAAGAATCATGAATTCATATGGTAGTCGTGCGAAAACCATTGGTGATTGAAAATCTGGTTGGCAGTCGAACCTTGTAGCTCAGTTGGTAGAGCATCGTTTTGGAAACCCAGTGTTCACTGGTTTGAGTCTAGACGTGGTCCGGACTTTCATTTCACTTTCAATCATCACCCAGTATAAATACGTTAATTATTGTCATTATTTAATATTAAGTCATTATATGGATGAAAAACATACACTGAAAAACAATTAAACATTTAGATATAAAACAAAGATTTCAGAGAAGAAATATTTCACTGTGTGACGATTTTATTTTGCTAAACAAGTGAATTTCTTTAGCTATTATGCTTCAAATTTCGTAAGCAAAAATCATACTTACAGTTAGAAATAAAGTTGGTGTTGAGCGTAGAAAAGTTTGTCAGAATTCTATTTAATTGAATGACAGTTGGAGAGAAGAGATTTTTATTGTTCCGGTTTGCACTCTTTATTCATTTAAAATAATAAACCTGTTAACTATTTTGCTATTCTCACTACTATAGTAACAAGTTTTACTATTCGAATGAAGAATATTCAGTAATGCCAAAAAGAAATAGATAATTTAAAAAAGATAACTTAGAATTTTATTCATCTCACCTGGGTGATATTAGCAGTAAAACGTAGAATACCTATCAATACCATTATCCCACTAATAAGACTCATTCGACTAGACATTAGGTCTGGATTTGATCGTAAAGTGAAAATCTAAAAATTAGTTGATAAAATTGTACGATGATTATTCTATGTTTCACTATACAATTTGTGATTATATTCAAAAATCCAGTGCAGAACAAGATATTCTCGATATGTTATAGAAAAGGAAAATGATTACCAGTCTTTCTTAAATACACTAATTAATAGAAGGTAGAATGCCAGAAGAGGCAGTGAAGACGGGACTTTATGTCAACGTAGAGAAGATAGAGGTGATGAAGATACCAAACCAGCAACAACAAGCAGCAGTTACCATCAACGGAAGAAACCTAAAGGAAGTAGTCTCTTTCACCAACCTACCTAGGCATCATCGCCTCAACTACAGGCGGCACAAATGAGGATGTCAAAGACAGGATCTGAAAGACAGCAATACAGGCCTTCATCAATCTGAAATCAGTGTGGAGATCTACTGCACTCAGTATGAAGAACAAGATCCGAATTTTCAACACCAATGTCAAGTCAATGCTTCTATGTGATGGTTGGGAGACTTGGCGCGTTACGAAAAGCATTTCCAACAAACTACAGATACACATCAATACTGAAGATCAGATGACCAGAAAGAATAAGCAACGGGGAACACTGGCAATGAATCAACCATGAACCCATCGCTCAACAAATATGCAGAAGAGTAAAGTGGAGATGGATTGCTTTGGGCATACACTGAGAAGATGGTTTGGGGACATCATACGACAGGCCAGGCCGTCAAGTAGGACCCAAGGGGGAAACGACTAGTTGGGAGTTCGAGGAGAGGGTGACATAAAGGAGATGACATGAGGAAGAAATGAAAGCTTCTGGGAAGTCGTGGAGTGAGGTTAAAAGGGCTACAGAGAAGAGAGTGAAGTGAAGACGTGCTACTGAAGCCCTATGATCAACTTGGAACAAAGAAGACAAATAGTTATAGTAATAAGCTCTTCGACCGTGAAACATTGGAGACAGACCATAGGACTGTCATTTTTACTTCTCATAGACAACTTTACGAAACATATTCGGGACGCTTCCTTAAATCTATCGAGGCCTTAACTATTTGGAATTTTAAGCCAGCTTTGTACGTTCAAAACCGAATTGTCATCACACTAAATCTCCCTTGGTGAATTCAACTCCTAAACCAAGTTCAGTGTACTATTACCTTAACTCAATTGATTTTTATGGCCATTTTGGCCTTTAATTTAGCCTTCCTACTTGACCTCTTTTCATATTCTCATCCCTCATCTCATTATATATAACCTTTTATATCAATGCCAATGACACGTAAATGTGTGATTAGTTAGTTCACAAAATGTGTTTAGGTAATTTACGTCTTCTTATTGCTTTGGCGGAATTCCATTGATACGTGGTGATAACTAAAGGCGAAATGAAAATCCAAGCCAGAGCAAGGTTAAAACCGGTGACCTCCGGGATACTGGCCTGACCCTCTGCTATCTGAGCTACGAAAATGAGATCTGGTAAGCAACCATGTTCAGTCTATAATGTTATAATGCAGGTTAATGAAATAGATGCTTCAACTTCGTTATTACCTTTGAACAACAAAATAAAATAGCTTTCTATGCTTACTTTCAAAACTGAATCTATTTCACTATATCGGACTGTTCATAAAAAACGTTACTGATTTAGTCACAATTTTAATTTTCAACAACTAAAAGAAGTCGTGACCGGTGGAGTCAAGGCCTGATGGCCATGAGGACAGATACTCAGCGATGATACTGGGTGGCGGTTGCGCTATATCATGAGCTAATAGAAGTTGGAAATATGGAGCATTGGATTCTGACCCAGTGGCTAAATGGTAACGCGCTGGCCGCGGAACCTGAAGGTCGCGGGTTCGATCCCTGCTGGTGGGGTGGTGGGTGCGCACTGCTGAGGAGTCCCATACTAGGAGGAAACAGCTGTCCAGTGCTCCCAGGTTTCCTTTGTTCCTCCAACTGATGTCAGTCTACGATGAATAACAACTTAAAAGAAGCCTAACTGAACCACCTAAAATATTGTTCTAATTGTTGCTTCACACAAATCCTTAAGTTTCACGGTTATTATGAAGACACTTTTTTAATGGTATTAAGTTTATTACTTCTGATGATACTAATTAATTTAGAATTGGGAGAAAAAAACGACGCGAAATTTCACGTGTAAATAATTAACCTTTTCTTAAGGAAAGCTGAACAAGGAGATTGAATAATGTTAATTGTCAGAGGAATAAGCGCAGTCGCATTCATCTCTATTAGATTCTAAGATTTACTATGTTAACGTGTATCACACCGGTAAATGCTGTATGCAGCATATGCACATGTTAAACTGTCAGTATGTATTATGACGTTTAACAGTGTACACTTATCATATGATTTTTTGAGATGCCGATTGTGCTAACAGCATGTGATTAATCACTCGATTTCATCTCCTCAACCTCCGTTCAACCTAAGACAAGACTGACACTATTATCTTTTTGCAGTTGTAACCTTTATAATACATATATACACAGATGAATTATATTCTTAAAATGTACCATCATTTATAAGAATGAAGTAACTGCTTTTATAGTATCGAAAATGCAATCACGCAGAATAACTCATTTCACTTGCCAAGCAGTCACACTGTAACCATAAGTTGTATAGATATTAGTCAGGGACAGTGGGAAGCTCTATAACCTCAGCCATACCATATAGTAGTGTTATAAAACAAGTCCTAGGTAATAAATAGAACTCCGCAGCCAAGCTGAAACTCATATTTTACCTAGTTCGGTTTAAAACAAGATAAATATTTCTAAATTTGTTACATTTAATATGATACTCCTTAATTCAGGTTTTCAGCATTCTGCTGCAAATTCTACAGCAGATTTGCCTGCGTGTATCTCCTACGTTACCTTCGGTAATGGAGCGAATTAATAGATGACTATGTAGAGAAGAAGCAGAATATGAAAGTAACTTTATTTCTTGCAAACAGAATCAGGCAATAATTGAAAACACAACTCTGAAGATGAAATGCTATTTAAGACTCTTTTCAAATGTCGAATCATAACCTCATGCACATAAACTCGGTGTTATTTCCGATTCGGCCTCCGTTTCACTCATTTCCTTGATATCATGCCTTGCTAGCTGTTTACCCTTATTAGGAATATTACCGACAGTGTTAAACGCTTTCCATAGCTTATTATCAAAAGATTGACTTTTTAGTATTTGTAAAACACTTCATAAAATTTCTCGTGTCAGAAAATTCATAAACTAAAGTTTGTATACTGGCGGGTTGGCTTCATGTTCGCAATTGATTCTACCATTTTAATTGGCTTCTTCAACCAATGAGAGAATATGAAACCTGTTAGTTAATTCTTCTTTCAACGTCATAAATGACTACCAAACTAGAACTACTGAGTTGAGAAAGAGTAGTAGTATTTCAATGGAAATCAGCTAGTGGAACTATGTAACTGATTTAAAGTTCTTTCTAAAAGACAACCCCTTTCATTTTATTAGTAATCCAGTTTGGCTAATCTGCGTTTTAAAGTCATCCTGCGTAATTATCTCCATCCATCCAAACCAATATAGGACCAGGCATTATTGCCTAACGGTCCGAGTTGCCACAGCTCGTATCAGTACATCAAGTAAAAAGGCAGTGAAGTGGAAGATGAAGAAAAGAAAATTCCATATTAGACTTGTTTATTTGATTTATAACACACAGTGATCTAGTATTATTCGCTTGATGACGTTTCGAGTATAAATTATTGCTCATAATCATATCAGTGTAATCAGACAAAAGAAATGTAAAGTACTAAAAGAGAGAAAGGAATAATGAGAAAATGGTGAGGTTCGGTATGGCGTTAAGATGAGGATAATTTGTGTATACATCTGCGCCAATGGCATCGGTTCTGAGCCATACCACCCAGAGGCTCCAACTATTTGTTGCGCTTGTCCCATGGACTCCAACTGGCTAGTCTGCATCGCCCTCGATGGCTCGAACCAACAGTCAAAGACTTCATACAGTGATGCCATATTTTAGTCTGACTACCTCGAGCCTTTTTCCAACCTGAACCTACTTCGGCCAACATTGTATGACGAGGCAGACGGCGACTAGGCATATATAACACATGTCCCAACCATCTCAGTTGATGTAGGTTCACAGCCTCAGCAACCGACTTCACCTCTTCTCCCTAAAACTCTACTCCTGACTTCTGCGTTACTCACATGATGACACCATGGCATACAGCCTATACTCCGAAGGCAACAGTGGTCAAACACCTGAAGCCTTCTCATGTCTTCCACCTTCAATGGCCATGTTTCACAGCTATACAGTAGAACAGACCAGGCTGAAGTGCAGTACATGTGACCCTTGACGAACAACCGGGCATCACGGTAGCCCTACAGGTGGCGTAAGTCGGGAAAAGCCAGCCGAGCCTTTTGTATTCATGGAGAGATTTCATCGTCCACTGACCCACCAGGACTGAGATCCTACTTCCCAGGTAAGTGAGGTGGTCGACATACTCAACCACTACACTCTCTATTGTTAGCACAAGCACTGTTGAAGACCAATCTTGGGGCAACAATTTGCATTTAGGTGGTGAGAAACGAATCCCAGTGCACCAGCTAACAGATTTTTAGAATAATGATATGTGATAATCAACGCATACTGACACCAGACACCTTTCATTTGTGGTAATATTCAGTGAAGCGTTCTCTCGTATTTGAAATTAATAAACGCCGATTGGTGTGAAAACATAACAAGTTTCATACAGTAAATATCGACGCCCCTAATGCTTTTCCCAGGAAATATTTTATATAATGTTCTAATCTTAGAAATGACACTTTGTTTCATATGCTAGAATGAAAAATAAATGAACAATAATTATTTAGCAGTGACAACTACTATTGATAAGTCGATATACAGATACACAGACAGGAAAATAATGGATCTTAAGATTTAGCATGGTAGTGAATCTATTCAGTATTCCACACCTGGTAACAGGATAGAAAGGTGGGAAGGTATAAATCGATTCAAATGGATCATTCAGTTTTACACAAAATAACCAATTAAATAATACTTGCAATTTCCCGCCTCTATAAAGGGTTGGAATACTCTATTTCTGTTGGCAGATGAACTCCTATGTGGATGCCTCACTACTGCCTGGATATTCATTATATTGAAGTATATTTGATAGCTAGCAGCGGAATCTAGGACGCGCTTTTCGTCCTACTTCGGACTCATCATCTGAATATACCCGAACTCCAGTGAGTGGCGTTGTTTACCCAGAGAGATAATGAATAATTCCGCTTCGTGTAATTACCCTCAACACTGAATCTACTTTCTGCATGAAATTTACAGGTCAGTGAAACCTAATACTTTGTTATAGCGTGCAGGAAGACTGCCCTATTCTGCATAAGAAGCCTTCATTCCCTGAAATCTTTTCCAACTAATCGAAATACTTAGAAGTTTCAAGAAAAAGCATATGAAGGTGTAAGTAATGGATTGGTTGAAGAAGCAGATGTCAATAGGATGTGCCATTATTCTACAAAGGCCTACAAACAGTTCCTGGTGCGTACTGCTGAATAGTCCCACATGAAGATGAAACAGCTGTCCAGTACTACCAGGTTTTTAATATTTCTCCGACTGATGTCAATCCATAATGTATACCAACGTGAAATCAAAAGTCAAGGCAACTGTAAATATGTTTAAACTGTTGTAGTTTGTAAATACTTTGATGTTGTACAATACGCCGTTTTATCTTATTGCTAGTTCTATTTACCGAAGAACCATCAAGTGTAGAGTCTGAAGGTTGTTTCTTCAAGTATCCACTCAGATAAATTAATTCATTTAACTAAGGATATATCACATTTCTAAAAAATAAAAACAGTGTTAAATACTAATGAGTTAAAAGTTGAGTACGATTGCTTAACAATTTCACAGTTTATACTTTTTCACACCAATCATGAATAAGATGATGGTGGAACAGGATTTGTTATTTCTTGACAAAAAAAATAATATCTCAAAGTATGATGGAATAACTTACATCATACACTTCAGAGTAGAGGATTGCAAATGCTGGTTGACTCGTTCCACTTATTAAACAACAAAAACATCCCGCAATTATTAAAGGTAGTTCAGGTTTATTAAGCTGCATAATTCTCATTGTTGGTGAAGTTTTTAGTCGTTTTAACTGGAAAAAAAGAAAGAAAATGAAAAAATAAATCATAGACTGATAGAATTTTGGAACCCAATAAGTGATTATTATTAAGTGGTCTCTTTTTTTTTATAAATGGTACTCATTGAAGTCAATTCATCATAAACCATAGATTGTCAAGCCTGTTACCGGAAAATAGGTTGGTTCACAAGTGTCATCTAGTAATCTAAAGGCTTCATATACATCAGTCGCACAAGAATTATAAATATTCAGTGTGTCATGATAGTTCTTAGTACTCAAAATTATTAACTAACTGATCCTAACTTTCATGCATATTAACTACATGGAGCAGGATGATTGGACATTCTGACCATTTTGTTAAATCCAATAAATATTTAACTATGTAAAATTATCACAGAAAAGTTTTGAATGTGAACAAATGAAAAGTGGAATAACTTTCATAATGGCACAATAATTGCAGCTTTTTAGAAACATATTTTTAGTCATGGTGCTTGTTGTAAAACATAAAGAACTTTTCTAGCATAAGTGAGAGTGATTTAACTGTGCGCATCTAATAACTGATGAAAATGTTAAACGGAATGTATTAAGATCAACTATCATCTCTTAGGATATATATATATATACATATATATATATATATATATATATATATATATATATATATATATATATATATATATATATATATATATATATATATATATATAGTAATACACAAATAACAGGTGGATAAAAAATGACTGATATCAAAGTAGACAAATTTGTGTGAGAGAATAAACATCCTGAAGACAACGGTCAATGTGAATATTCAAGCTTTAGAAGATGTCGAGGAGTGAATACATCTGTGCCATTGTGACTGATTTCCAACCATGTCACCAACAGTCATTAAGCACTGATTGCTTTCGTCACGGCGACACCAACCAAGTAGTCTACATATCGTCACACGGCTACGATCAACAGTCAGGGACTTCATCTTAGTCTCCTCACCTTCAACACTCTTCTAACACGATTCAACTTCTTCTGGTATTCTACTTCAAGGTAGGTGGTAGCGGATTGGCATGCTCAATACATTTCCAAGCCACCTCAACCGATGAAGTTTGTCACCTCATCAATCGACTTTCCTATCTTGTCGCCTAGTAGCCTTCACCAGACCTCAACATTTCTAACGCGAGCAATGTTATAAAGGAACTTAAGATCAAAACGCAGTAATTGCTTCATGTTGTCCACTTTTAATGGCCATATCTCATAGACAGATAACAGAACAGAACGTAGAGTAGTATATTCGTTCTTTGATAGTCGGATATCTCGCCAGTCGGCGACAAAGATAACGCAGGTTGGCAAATGCCAAATGCCTCATCTGTATCTAAGCTGAGATTTCGTCAGCAGTCGGTCTGTTTGGTCAGCAAATTCCACCACTTCACTTTCTATCATAAAACTTGGAGTGGTTGAAGACCAGTCTTACATTTGACAGGTGCAAAATGTATACCGAACACACTCAGAATCCTGACCAACGTGTTCACAAGACCTTACATTTTGTCGGCGTCTTCATCCAGAAGTACAATATCGTCTGTATACTCCAAGTCAACCAGATGACCTCCTGAAAGTAGGTCAATCTCTGTGAAGTCAGATGTACCTTTATTTGTGAATTGACAATGTAAAAACTGGAAAATGAATTGCTTGACTGAAATACATTATTGCTAGTAAGGTAGTCGTATCCTGTTCTTAATCCCTCATAATAGTCATATAAATCCCAATATTATTTGTATCATTCACTAACCACTTTCATTTCATCATGAAGAGGATAGAAATATAAAGTCATATGCATACAAATTAATCACTAAACTAGTGATACTATAAACAGTTTTCCCTGGCCAATTAAAACCATATGACATGAAACATTTCATCAACATTTAGAACAGTTATTTCATCTCTAAGTAAAAATGTATTTCATTCAGCACTGAACTCACCTTGGCGCGTGCAACAGAAGATGCTGAAATAATTGAAAAGCTTCTACGACGTAAGCTATGAGTACTTTCTGATAGATTCTAAATGAAATATATAAAAATGTATGTAAATATATATATAACGCTATTTCATGGTCATTCAAAAATGTTATTTTAAACAAACATTGAAATACTCGCTAACAATTGGTGTTTATAGTAATTTCACTCGCGAACTGTAATCTGGAAGTGTACATAAAAATATAGTTTTAATTAGTTTTATGGCTGAATGAAGAAGATCCATGTTAGTACCAGTTATCGAGTTGTTTTTTCATCTTTAGACCTTTTAATTTACAATTTTTCATCTCTAAGAATTTCATTTCCTTAATGCAAATGGATAGGTTGAATTTGTTTCACTGTTGTGCTTAGGAATTTAACTAATTTTCTAACTTCAGTTGAAATGTTCCAAGAGTATTTTCAAGTCTCTGCATTGTTATCGATGATATTTTCCAAGAAGAATCATATATTTCTTCTGTCGCTCTGAGAAAATCTGATGTTTGCTATTTGTACATCTTATTATCTATATAGCATGAGAAGAATGGTGATTCTTTTTCAATTTTCTGTTGTTCTGGATTCGTTTTAGAATGATTTACCAATGCATCATTGAATACTAACTTTTCGATAAACTTTTATGATTAAGTTTATGTACATAAGCCTGCCTCTCAGTTTTTGCTACTTACCAATATGTTTTCATCCTCAGTCAGGTTTCATGATGGAAATTAAAATTATTCAATAGTTGAAGATTAAAACAGTTGTAAGAGCAACGCTTACTAACCTATAGTAACTTGAAATAAGTATCTCAACACTTTACAGTTTGCAGTATATGTATACATGGGCGGATAAATTGACACTGATCAAAAGACAGTCATACATATAAACATCCTTCATCAAGTCAACTTTTATTCAGAATAACATCCTAATCATGAATGCAAGCCTTCAACATTCACTACCACCGTATTAAATGGTGAGCATCACGGGGATATTCTGATTAATTGGCAGGATAGTTCTTTTTAGTACATTAACATCTTGCGTTAACTATTCTGTTGTCTGATACCAGACTGTATGAGAAGCGTTCAATAACTGAATAAATCAGCATCAGGTTGAGTTAAAATGACTTTATTTTCTCTACTTTAGACATTATACTTAGAAATGCCAGTACTTCAGTAATTATTAGTGGTAACCAAAATATGCGTTTCGTCCTACTTGGGACTCGTCAGTTGAATGTACATGCACCCCCAATGAGTGATGCTATTCCCACTGAGACTCGGATCCAATAAAATCATAAAGATTGAAACCACCTTCGGATCACTGAAATATACAGATGACGGAATTTGACTATATATCAATATTTCGGTCACATATTCTATATGATACGATTTGCAGGGCTAAGTGAAGGCAATTTCCACTTCAAGTTACACTTCTAATTTATGACATTTCATGATATACTTAAGGAATATTCTTGGTTGGCAAACTTAAAAGTGCCAAAACCTATCATTATCAGTATTCATTGTGAAAAAAAGTTTGAAAGGTGGTTTCAATTGAAGCTTCACTTCCTATATTTTGAGAATATTTTTCATCGATTTCTATCAGTATATAATGAAATATTCTTCTTTGTAGATCACAGTGAGACGTTAATTGATGTGAATTAGTCAGTTTTACGAAACTTACCAGTGTAGAGATAGAAAATTGATACACTAATAAATGTTTCATCAGCGATAGGATATGTTCATAGATGTCTATGATAAAGTAGTACAAATTAATTGAAATTTACTGTGATTATTAGTGGAATCACAAAATCCATAAAATTGTTATACCAGAAACCGAAAATAACTAAACAGAAAGTTATCAGGTTGTTTTAAAGGTACTATTCATCACGGACTGGTATCAGTTGGAGACCTACTGAAAACCTGGAATTGCTTGACAGTTGTTTCATTCTAGTGTCAGACTCAGCATTACGCCCCCATGATCTCATCAGGGAACAAGCTGAGGTTTCACGGTGAACCCACTAACCATTCAGCCACTAGGTCAAAATCCAATGGTCCCCAGTTCTCTACTTCTGTCAATTCAAAATAAAGTGCTACTATCCATCAAGGTCTTCAGTAGACATTCACTTCACTTCTGACTAGCTGACCCTACAGATGCATAGCCATACTATATCGTGAATTAACAGAAATTGGGAACAGTGGACGACTGAACTGAATGGTTAATGTGTTCGTCATGAAACCTAAAGGTCTTGACTGTGATCTTTATTGGGTCTTGAGTCAATACTGTTGAGGATGAAAAACATGGACGAAGCAGATGTCGTATTCTCAGGTTTTCAAACTGATGTCAATCCATGATGAATACTACCTTAAAAATAGTTATTAACTTGTCATTTGTTACTTATTATCAAGTTCGTCAAACACATTATAGTGGAATAAAGTAAGATGTAGGGAGAATAGTGTCATTGTTGACTGTTGACTAGTTTTTTTTTTACTTACCATGGAAATATTTAAAAAATAGTCAACCTTTATCATTTTTTCAGTGACAATCAATTATCATGTTTTACACTGATTATTGTCAAACTTTGTTGCATTGTTATTGTGTAGTATCCTGTAATAATTTAATAAAATCATATTTCAATACTTTATATCAATCAATTTTTTTTTTGTTTTTGCAAAAATATATCTATGTCAAGTTAGCTAATTTCTTTTAAAAAAATTTAAAGTTGGTTTTTTATTTCTTCTCATGGTCTAGTCATATATAAATAAAACAGCTGACTTTTCAAAAAGAATTCCATTATGATTTAACAAACTATGAATACCGTTAAGTGATTTAGACCTGATGAAAATAATAAACGATTAAATTGATGCATTTTATACATTATGTTATTTAAAATGTTTTTTTTTTAAAGTAAAACATAAACTTAGTCTCAGTTTAAACAATATGCATACATCATTTTCATCTTCTAGTCTCCAAACATTGTCAACTTGCTTTGGAGCATTGTCTACAGTTCCAAGCTTATCGTCATCATTTGCTTCAGTATCCTCAGATTCAACTTTCTCAGTTATACCCTTGATTAAAGAAATAAATGATTCACTTATTAGATTAGCAAAACATAAATTAGAATAGTGTTTTAGTGATAAGCTGGTTTATTCACCTGACAGCTATTTACGTGACTGATGTGTCAAATATGCTCCCTCTATCTCTTCGTCTGTATATATATATATATATATATATATATATATATATATATATACATGCCAAAGTAGTATGTTTAGCCTCTATGTCTAACTTGACTTTAACTTAATTTTGTCATAGGTTATTTGGAGGAGGTTGTGGGGATTTAGAAATATTTCAAGCTGGTATTCATCGTAGACTGTGCTATGCTGTGAACTGACAGAAGTTGGAAATATGGACCATTGGATTCTGACCCAGTGGCTAAATGGTAACGTGCTAGCCTCGAGACCTGAAGGTCGCGGGTTCGATCCCAGTGTTCCCAGGTTTCTAATGTTCCTCCAACTAATGTCAGTCTATAGTGAATACCAACTTGAAATAGGTTATTTCGTTTCGTTTTATTTGACCACCACCTTTAGTAAACCAAGTCATTTCACTGTTTCCTCGTTATTATCAGTAGTAGTTATACATCTAGTAGTTTTGTCTTTTTCTTCATTGAATCGTTCCAGTAATTACAACCATTAACTAAGTCAATTATCAACAAAGTATATTCTTTCCATCCCAATTAACTTCTTGTCTCGTTTATATAACCTAGTCCGTTTGTTTGTTCAATAGTTCTATCATGTTTTCACACCTTTTGTGATATGTACGCATTCTACGAACAAATGAAACATCTTTCGTAACCCTTTTTTGTTATCATTCAACACTTAAGTCACATCATCAACTAGTACTACTGTTGTAACTATAACCAGCGTCGGATACAGTTTATATTTGTGTAAGTTACAGTGTGCTTGAAATAAAATTCCAATGCTTCGCGTGGAAAACTGATCTAACCTTCTTAAGGGAAATAATCAAAAATTAAAATGTCAAAGTTATGAGCCTTATACTACTCTAATGATTTGTCTAGTTAGTCGATATACTTCAGTTCTGACTGTTATTGTTCATGTGGTTTCAAATAATTATCCTTGTTTATGTGAATTCTGATCAAGATTTGACTGACTAGTATCGCAAATATTGGGTTGACATGAGATACAGTTTGTAGTTGTTTAGGTCACAGTGTGTTTTAAATGAAATACTTCCAACGTTTCTCACTGGAATCTCTGATTCCAGCTTCTTCGGGGGAAATAACAGGAAACTAAAATATCAAAGACAAGTATTTGATGAATTCCACCTCAAAATTCAAATCCCCATTAACCTAAACATACATACAGAATAATACTCATTCGTGGCACGCTTCCAGCTGGATATCCTGAAGTGTATTTATGCGATGCCGTGCCCTGTAGGGTCCACCAGTAAGAAGGGAAGCGGATCCTAACCAAAGATTTTGAGTGACAGTTGCGTTATATTGCGAATTGACAGAAGGTGGAAACTATGAAGTATTGAACTCTGATTCCATTGCTGAATGGTTAACACGTTCGCCATGAAACCTGAAAGTCCTTATTTCTATCCCTGGTTGGGTCATGGGTGCGTGCTGCTGAGGAGTCCCATACTAGAATCCATACAAGGTAGCCGTCGAGTGCTCCCAGCTTTCCAACGGTTCTCCAACTAATATCAGTCTATGATGAATACTACGTTAACACATAAATGAACCCCAAGGCGTGTACTTATTCTCCTTGTCAGATACTCTTCGTATAGTCAATGTTTTTCTAACATTGTATGTCCCTTGTTCTATGGTTTGCATGTGTTTTTGCCTACTGTTATTCATATTCTACATGATGGCAGGTACGAAACAAAACCTCACAGGTGACACTATAGTCATCCAGTAATTTTATAAGTACAATAGGACACATGAGGTGGATACGTATGTCAGTTCACTTGTTGTATAGGACTGGATGGTATTCACGAATTTCTCATTGATTTGCCGGAATTGAGCGGAAATGAATGTAGTCACGATGGTGGTAACAATAACAATAATAATGAGTCAAATCAATCAACACTGTGTTGTTGCTGATGCAGAAATAATCTAGTTGAAACTGGTGTTGATGGCAATTGTTAGAATCACACTTTCTACCTACTAATTAGAAATTGCTAAGAGGCAGATAACTGTACTCCACCCCATTGGTTTAAACGATCTGGATTTCCTTACATATGTAGGACTTTGACAGTCAATGTATCTTCGTATATCCCATAACCTGCCAACAGAACCTTTGTTCAGTCCAGGTTGATTTTGTAGCCAACTTCTGTGGACTTCCAACTTGTTTGCTAGCTTCGTAACCACTGCTGAGGTTTTCAGAATCCTTTTCAGACACAGTCTATGCTCCTTCACCCTTATATACCTGCCTGACTATCTCTCCCATATATACAGTATTACAATCAGCGCACTTCATTTTGTAAACGCAGTTCTGTTGATTTTCTTTCTTTAACTTTCATCAAGTTTTTGGTAATATTTCCATTAAAATCACTAAAACAAAATCTATCATTGTACGTAAAAGTTTCATTTAAAATCCACGTATGATACAAAATTAAGGATAGTATTTTTCAGCAACCCGAAAGATAAGGTCCCATATCTGACCAGTTCTATGTGTGTTTATCAATTCACCTGCTCCTATAGAGCCAGATATATAGGTAATTCGATGATCATTCTTTGCAAACAGGATACAGAACCTTATCTCACCTAAATGCAAAGAGGTGAGAGTGAACTGATCAAAAGTACAATAATTGAACATCTTGTCAACACTGGTCACATCATCATAACTGATTCAGCGTTCAAAATAAGCGAAAACATGAAAGGAATTCGCCTAAAATTGGCCACCTTCACTGTACTGCAGAAACTCTTTCTGTATATATGAATAAACTGGAATTATGTTTACAAAAGAAACTTGTTCAACATTTGTTGCTACATTGGACTTAGTAAATTGTTAATAATACATCGACCTCTCACTTTCACACTTATGATAATAACTCAACTCATTTTGTTTGCATCCTACCGTTAATCATGGTTTATCTTGAAAATTATTTTTACATATTATGGAACTTTAAAATTTTCTCTGGTTAATTATATTGATTTCTATGCTATTATGGCTGCCTGCTTAAGCTTTGGGAAACCAATAAATTTTTCATTGAACATATCATAACAGAATGAAGGTAAAATATCACGTTAGATGCAAGAAAAGACTTTTTAATGCATAAAAATACATCACATTTCCATCTGTCGTAATAGCACATTCCTCTACTGACTGAATAAGCCTTGATCACCTATACAACACCAACCAGCTGTTTCATATAATTCCCTTTAATGCTATCATCATCATCATCATAAGTATCTTTCAGGTACAATAATCATTTTGCTGGAAAATATTGATGTTAGAGCGAATCGATTAAAATATTACATACTGTAAATTACATGATATATCAAACATATTACATTACTATTTTGTAACTAATATACACCTTGTATCACATTTATGAACTTTTAATCTTCATTCAACTTGATCTCTACTATTAGATTTAATTAAATAATTCTTGTAAATATCCTATATAGTTGAAAAAAACTGTATAAATTTTCGATTGTACAGCTATAGAGAGTGAAATTACCGAAAAAGATGTCTTCGCTAAATGTCTCGTTTTCTCTAATGTCCTAATGAGTATTTCCAGCTAATTTGAAGTACAATACATTAATCCTTTCAACTAGGCACAGATATTTTATTGAAATACTTTTTGAAAATCCTTTTTATAAAATCTTTGAGATAATTATTTGATTCCAGTCGGCAACAAACTGTCTTTAACTTTTTACAACACGCTGGGATTACATTAAAACATATTTACATGATGATTCAATCAGACTCGGCGCTCAACTTCTTCCAGGACATACGTAATAACTATGGTTTGGATGTTTATAATCTTGTCCTTAACTCTTCACGTTTATTCTCTTCTATTGTAACAAGATAGTTAGCTCTATCGATCAGATTTCGTACAAATGTTACTTAAGCGGTCAAGGGATAAGCAGACTGGTAATCTAGGTAACGGTCAGAATGTCACTAGACCACCATAATAAACAGGTTTATTGAAATCATTATTGTTATTTCAATCTCTCATTATTTAAATGTGATTATATATGTATGGGGGATATTTTGGCATACCAGAGCAGGTAAAGAGATGGCTCAAAACTGCTTCATGAAACTGCTAGTTTTGTTCGTGTGACGCTGACAATTTTAACACTGTACAACCCACTCCCCACCAGATCTTCAGAACCTCATAACTTTAATGTCATCACACATGCTAGGCCTTACTAAAGTCTTCGTACTGTATTTACAACCTCTAGATCGTATGAAGAAGGAAACTGCCAGTATTTAGGAATTTCTGAAAACGCAGACACATCAAAAAATGCGAATAGTGTTTAGACTAAAGTTTTTGAATTCGGAGGTCTAAAGAAATTGTAAGGAAATGTGAAGAAGTATGACTTCGACAAATTAAAAATACCTGGTTGTTAAGCATCGTAGCATAAAGGCCATTTTTGGCCACAAGTTCATCATGTGTGCCAGATTCACGAACAACCCCCTTGTCAAGCACAATTATTAAATCTGCATTACGAACTGTGGTAAGACGATGGGCAACAACTACTACTGTCCTGCCTGAGCTTGCTTTGTCTAGAGCCATTTGAACAATATGTTCTGACTTTGTGTCAAGAGCTGACGTAGCTTCATCCAACAGCAGTAACTTTGGTTGTCTGATAAGGGCTCGGGCGATTGCAATACGTTGCTTCTGACCACCTGACATGCCACCACCTCGTTCACCCACGAAAGTTTCATATCCCTATTTAACGGAATGAAAACCAGTTTGTTCATTATTACGGTAAAAAAAAGTCATATTGAAAGAGCATGGTTTCAATTTCCACGTAAAGCAGATGACTTACATTTGGTTGATCTTTTATAAAATCATGAGCGTTGGCAAGCTTTGCAGCCTCTTCTATCTCCTCTTGAGTTGCATCGAGCTTTCCTAATCTAATATTATCGCTAATTGTTCCTTCATAAAGTATTGGTTCTTGCTGAACACAGCCTATCTGGCCACGATAAGCTTTAAGGTCCAGATTTTTTATATTCTCACCCTCAATCAGCACCTTGAATATCAGAAAGCAAATAAACAATGAAAACTGTGATTCATTTACTTAACAGTATGTAATGACACAAAATAACAAGCGAAATTTCAGACTTTTGACGATGACCTGACTTACACTATAATTTTATACCCCCACCGAGTGTAGAAATAACTTGCGTAGTAGTCTAACTGTTTCATAGTGAAAACTAAAACAGATATCAGCTTCTATCTGGCGGTTTGCGGAGATTTATTTATTGATTTCAGATTGGAATACATCATGACCTGACATCAGTTGCAGAAACATTGGAAACTTGGGAGCACTGGACAGCCGTTTTGTCATAGTATGGGGCTCCTCATCAGTGCGTGCCCGTGACCTCGCCAGGAATCAAACCCAAGACCTTCAGTTTCCGTTGCCATTACGTTACCACTGAGTCACTGGGTTGGAATCTAATAGTTTAGTGCTCGTTGGTAACTAGCTTCGATAGGGGATTCCCGAAGTAGTGGTGACCAGTGAAGCCAATCAAGTCAAACATGAGGATAGTCACTCGACGACAATATTGGATGTAGGTCACACTATATCATAAAATGACAGAGACAGGAAATACGGACCATTGGGTCCAGCCCAGTAGCTCTATGGTAACGTGCTGGACACAGAACCTGAAGGGTCTAGGTTCGATCCCTGGCGAGGTCATGGCTGGTCACTGTTGAGGAGTCCCAAACTATAGGGAAACAGCTGCTTAGTGCTCCCAGGTTTCCAATGTTCCTCCAACTGATGTCAGTCCACGATGAGTTCCAACACAAGATATCAGTTTCCTTGCATTTACCGCACAAATTAATGAATTATGTGGTAAATAACAACAATACTCAAAAGATACATAGTGATGCTGAAATCAGATGGGTTATGCCAGTGAAACCTACAGCTTTTTGCAGTAATGTGCAGTAAGATTAGCGAAATCTTTATACAAAGCAGTAAATCCTTAGAAACTTTTTCAACCAATCCTTTTGTTCCAAAGTTTTGCAAAAAACACGTGAACCAACGTGTAAATATCAGACTGTACACTGGGTGATGATTGAAGGTGAGATGGAAATTTCGACCGCAGCCGGATTTCCATCTCACCTTCAATCATCACCCAGTATAAATATTAGTCTGCCAAACTATAGCTATCTCAGATAGTCAAATGACAATATCAGATTAGTTGAAGAGACAAAAGTCAACAGAATACTCAAGTATAGAAGAGCCTGGAAACAACCAAAGCTAGTGTAAATACATATATGAACCGTTGTATTCTGCATATATTTTTTGAGGTTGCGATACACGTTCCGCTATATTACTACTTCTCCTACTCGCGGAGGAACTGAGCAACCATCAAAGAGTGGAATATGAAGGTTATTGTTCAAGCGACCATATATATATATATATATATATATATATATATATATATATATATATATATATATATATATATATATTGCCTGGATTCTTCTGCTAGTCACAACCAAGTAAATTATCATAATTAACGTTCAGGCAGTATCGAGGCATCCGCATAGGAGCCAATATGCCAATAGACGTCGAACAATTCGATCCAATAAAACAATGGAGAATCACAAGTATATCAATAAATAATGTATTTAATAGGTGCACTAAATTTTCTTTAAAACAACAACACTCACCTCGCCTTCTACTGGATCATAGAATCTTTGTAGCATGTGGACGATAGTACTCTTTCCTGAACCACTTGGTCCGACAAGTGCCACGGTTTGACCACTTTTGATGGTTAGACTGAAATTCTTTAGAACCTGCAAATTAGAAAATATTTGCATGTATACCAGAAATGGAGAGAATAAATTTTGCCTTAATTCTGATCATAGTTTGTTCTGTCACTGCGAAAATGTTGTATAGCTTTTATTATTTTAATCTAGTGGATATTTGACTCGGCAGTAATTTTTTGATTACAGTCGTTTTTTTTCCTGATTGATACAACATATAAGGTAAGACTATCCGTCATTACTATAACTAAAACGCAGGTGATATCGAGGCATCCGTACAGGAGCCGATATGCCAATAGAAACCAATCAATTCGGTCCAATCAAAGACGGTATAATACAAGCAATTATACTAAAACTATACCCGTCGCACAAGAAGTGGCTAACATGGCTCGATGGTCTGGCGGATAACGCTCTGGTGTTTGAAGCGATCAGTCCCGAGTTTGAATCACGGTAGGAACAAAATCACTCACTGAGAGGCAGGTATATCCAGCCGACGAGTCCCAAATAGGACGAAATGTCCATCCTGAACTTCACTGCTAGCCACTATCCATCATTACTGTAATTAGAACACAGGCAATATCGAGGCATCCGCACAGGAGCCCATATGCTAATAGAGGCCGATCAATTCAGTCCAGCCAACGACGGTACAATACAAGCAATTATACTAAGACTAAAACAGTTTAGGAAAACTTATTATTAAAACACAAACATGATACAGCAAGAGCACCAGGTAATGCGCCACACAAAATAGTATAGTAACATTGTGAAGACGTAAGCGATGGAAAGTGGATAATTAATAAAGAAAGACAATAAGAATGGCATGGTTAGAAGGGCGATTCGGTAAGATACATCCCAAACATAACATTCATTAGTTTGCACCAGCAGGAGATAGGAGGAATTTTCTGCACGACCAGCATTGGTTTCGATTCTGAGCCATGTCTGATAACATCCCAAGCCACTGAGTTGTGTGATCTCTCAGACCAGATCACGCAGAGAGTCGTGATGCATCAACAGATGCTAATACGATACAATTTTCCTTCATCCCACACTGCCACACTATACACTGACCACCCTTCCACTTCTTCCATCCACTCGCAGGTCTAGTAAACAGTGAACAGTGTGGAAGCCGTTGTGGCGACATGCGTAACACACATCCAAACCACCGGAGCAGGTGCTTCTAGATGAGTTCAGTTGGTGAATGGCAATCTCCATCGTGCTCGAAAATATGCTTTCATACATCAGAATTACTTGTATGGTGTTACCGCCCGATAAGATTGATCCTACGGAGACAATGATCATCGAACGCACAGAGTCATCGCATATCCTTAGCTCAGACAGACCAGGTTTCACAAGCACGGAGCAGAACTGCTCGCACCGAAGCGTTGTAAACCAGATGTTTTACAGTCAGGCTAACATCACGACGGCTTCAGAGGTGGCCCAGATCGGCTGATGACACTCTGGCTTTCGATATCCGGTTGGAAGTTTCACCACTCACACCTTCACTAGCACTTACATAACTACCTAGAAACACGAAATTTTAGGCTCCTACAATGGCGTAATACCGAAGGTGAGCACAGGCACAGGTCTCTGTCAATCTCGCGAAATTACTTTGCACTCTGATGGTGTAAATCGTACACCAAACTTACGGACACTGGACGCCAACTGATTAAGTGCAGTGTGAAGAGCGTGTTATTTGTCGCACAGTAAGAAGGTATCGTCCGCATTTTCGAGGTCGAGTAGTCGTTCTCCATGTACTAGATCTATAAAACCATCACTTATCTCCTTCAGAGCTATCTCAAAAATGTCATCGATGGCAAAGTTAAAGAGGAATGGAGAAACCGGCAACTCTGCCTAACCTCACTGCTGGTTTGGAACAGAGGAGACAGTTGGTTGTATCCCCTCAATCTACCTGAGGTGTAGTTATAAAGAACTTTCAAGATGTTAATAAACTTTTCAGGCATGTCCTTATCCAACAGACAATTCCAGAGTGCAACTTTATCCAACGAATCGAAGGCAGCCCTGATATCAAGAAACACAACGATTGTTGGCTCGCAATACGTCTGACGATGTTCAAGCATCTGGTGGTGGACAAACACATGATCAATGAATTCATGACCCAGACTAAACCCGGCCTGATCTTCGCCAATCATTTCTTCGTATGTCTTAGAAAGTCTAAGAAGTACAATAGCAACCGGTATTTTCGCCGAGACTGGTAAAAAACTAATTACCCGATGATGATCACATACATTACGTAGACCCTTTCTAAACATGGGCACAATGATGGCTTCGTCCTAGAATGATGGAACAATCAGTCTGCCATTTCTTCTCAAACAATCGAGTCACTTCTTTGATTAGAGTCATTTCTTTATCCTTGAAAAGAACCAGGGTGAGTTGTCTGGGCAGCATGCATTGTGGCGTTTCAGAACTTGAAGTTCTCTATGGACCTCCGCTACATCAGGTTGACCAGTATTAACTGACGTGGGGTACGATACACTGAATCTGAAAATGCTGGAGCAATTGGTCAGCTGAACTCCTGTTCGGAGTGCTCTGCCCAGCCTTCCGGGCGTCTTTGAAGACTGTTTATCAGTGTAAAATCTGTCTCACAGACACCTGGCCTCTTGCTCCCTGTGGCTCAGATGAGCTGCAACAGCTTCCGACTATTGCTAAATGCAACTGGTGCTTCTGTCTCACTCGCACGTTATGATCGTCAAGCATCAAGTTCATACCTAAACGTTGTGTGCTTTTTTGCGTAAGAAACTTACGTGAACCACTGTACTCTCTTTCCACCGGAATGGTCCAACGGGCGTCAAGAAGTTGCAGAGAGCTCGCAGAGACCCAGTGTCTATTAGTGAGACGTTCTTCCAAATTGCAAGCGGCTTCAGTCGTCATTTTCATAGTGTCTTACAAGTCTACCCAGTGCTCGTCTACACTTTCCGAAGGATCGGCAGCCAATATTAAATCTAGCTCGGATTGGTATTCAGCTGCAAGGTTAGGTGCAACTAATTTGTTTGCATCAAACTCTTTAGGAAAACGACTTTGATGACTACCAAAATGCAAGACGGGATAAGCACACACTAATGCATGATCTGGGTTCAGACAAGAACTCCATATGGAGCGCTAGTCCTGTATGCACCCTTGCCACAGGTAGCTGATTGCAGTGTGATCTGTTTTTAGTCCAGGTTTGAGTGGCAGAAGCAGGACCCCAAGCAACACAACGGCGATGGCTGTTCCACAGACCGGTGCTGGCCAGAAATAGGTTGTGATTTTCACAAAGCCGCAGAAGACGATCCTCATTATCCCACCTACGGCCAACTAGTTCCGATTGGCCACCTAAACCACCCTCCTCTGAGTTTAGACGCCCAACCTGCGCGTTCAAGTCCCCAGCTAGCACTATGATATCTGTCGAGCGCACTTGGTCGAGAAGGTCACTCAGGTGATGATGGAAATTGTTCTCGGTTGCATCCTAATTGAAATCCATTGGAGTATAGGCAGAGATGACAGACAGGCATCATTTCCTCTTGCCGACTACTTCTTGATCGAGTTGAACCCTTTGCCTAACAGCATTTAGACGACTGTTGATGGGGATCCAGTTGAGTAGTGCAGCTTCGACTCGATCGCTTAGTGCGACACCGATACCAGCGCAGCTGGTTACCAATGCAACAGGGTCGCTGGATAAGCATACATGAAAAATGCTTTTCGAGGTGACACATGGGAAACTAATTCGGAGCACTTCACTGGGGTCGAGTACGCATGTCTCTGGGTTACAGTTTAAGTCGGCAGCAAGGTTTTTCAGAGTCCTGGCCAAACCTTCCCCGTTGTCCAATCTGCATCAAGGTGCGAACATTGAATGTGGTGAATTTAAACGATTCGAGTGGTTTCAGGAGAGCTGTGTCATATATCGCACTGGAGAACAGCCTAATGGAGGCAATTATTTAGTGACTGAAAACAATACAGACAGACCAGAAGTCCAAGCAATGAACAGCAGCTGAGTGAAATAGATGGGACTTCTCTGGCAGATAGTATGAACCTATAGCAGAGAATATGATGTACTCTCACATTCCCAACCCCCCCCCCCCCAACACACATACACACACACTGACAGGATAAACGTATAACATCGCATACAAGTGCATCGACTCAACTCGTCACACTTCACACAGTAATACACAAATAACAGGTGGATAAAAAATGACTGATATCAAAGTAGACAAACTTGTGTGAGAGAATAAACATCCTGAAGATAACGGTCAATGTGAATATTCAAGCTTTAGAAGATGTCGAGGAGTGAATACATCTATGCCATTGTGACCGATTTCCAACCATATCACCAACAGTCATCGAACACTGATTCCCATTGTCTCAAGACCTCCAGTCGGGTAGTCTTTATCTCATCACACGGCTCCGATGAATAGTCAGAGACTTCATGAACTGGTGCCACGTCTTCGTCTCGCCACCCTCAACCCTCTTCCAACCTAATCAAACTTCCCTTAGCCTTCCACGTCGAGGTAGGTAGCGGTGGATCGGCATGCCCGATACATGTCCAAGCCACCTCAGTCGACGAAGTTTCGTCACCTTACTAGTCGACTTACCTGTCTTGTCTAGTAACCTTCCCCTGACCTTATCACTGCTCTCACAGTGATTTCACTAGTTGCGAGCAATGTTGCGAAGACATCTGTGATCGAAACTCAGCAACTGCTTCATTTTATCTACTTTCAGCGGCCTTAGCTCACAGTCAAATAACAAAACAGGAATAACTGCAGCGCAGCATACTCGTCCTTAGAAAGATAGTCGGGTGTCTCGCTAGTGGGCACCACAGGTGACACAAGTTGTCAAATGTCAAACAGGACTCCTGTACCCGACCAGTGTGTTCGCGCTTATGCAACTCCCAAAGTAACTGAAGTGGTCGAGGCATTCCAACACTTCTTTACCCATCAATAAGCTGGGAGTCATTGCAGACAAGTTGTGGAGCATCATCCCACATTTGGCAGGTGATGGCGAGACGCATGCCAAACATACATAGAGTTCTACTCAACAAATTTAGAATACTCTGCATTTTGTCAGTCTGCACATAGCAGGACAATATCGTCTGCATACTCCTAGAAAACCGGATGACCTCTAGAGAGAAGGTCGATCCCTGTAAGGTCAGACTTGCATAGGACTTTGTCCATTAGTATGTTTATAACAAAGTTAAGTAAGAAGGGTGACAGTGGGTATCCCTAGTGCGCACCACTGGTTGTCATCAACTCATTTGACTACCCTTCATAAACCCCAACACGGCTGGTTGAATACGAGTCAACAGCTTTGATTAGCGTTATATACTTGCAAGGTACTCGCTTCACATTTAGACACTGCCACAAAAACTTGCGGTCGAGACAAATGCCACCTTCAGGTCAACAAATATGGCGATTATCCGCTGGCGTTAGATATACCTGCATTCCAGAACCTGTCTGGGGGTAGAGATATGATTGATGCACCCTTGATCAAGTCTGAAACCTGTCTGATTTTCTCGAATTTGCTGCTCTCGCGCTCCAGTTCGGCGTCGGCTAAATTAAACCCTAGAATCTTGGATGCAATATTAGTTAAACCGATTCCCCTATGGTTGTCACAAAAAGACTTCCCTCCCCTCCTATAGACTGGAATGATTGGAGAAGTATATCACTCTGACAGCACTACCTCTGATTCCTATACACTACCAAGTACCTAAATAGTGGCCAAGTATTACTCATGACTGCTGCCTTCTCCATCTCTCTCACTTTCACTAACCACCACACTGATCCCAGGCATTGCGAAGACTCTTAGTCAGTCTACGTTCAAGTCGCTTTCAATCTTCATCGTGATCAGTGCCAGCTAACCAACTAAAGCTAAACGCAGATTGATGATATGGATGTTTGTATTAGAAGTAACTTTCTCTCGGAGTATAATAAATAAACTGTTAGGATTTTTTTATTTAGGAAAATAATTCATCACCTACTACTATCAGTGTTAGCCGAACTATTTTTTGTTAGATTTTCTTTACAGATGTATGCACTCAACGATGAAATAGTTTCATTTAGATGCAAACACAACTATTACAACAGCTGACCAGTCAGTTATAAAGCAGCGCATATTTACAGAAAATAAATGTGTAATACACTTTTTAAAGAAACAGTAAATAGTATGTGGATAGATGTTAGATCTACTAGTCACTTCCTGCATGTTATTATACTGTGGTGTGCAGTTTTGTCCAATGTAAGTTGATGCTTTATAACTGGTCTGCAACCACCACCAGTTTATTAACAAGGAGTGATGTCGTGGAATATGCCAATCACTTCACTACCTCGAGGAGTTGCATAAGTGCGAACAAACTGGTTGCTGACGAAATTTTAGCTCGGATACAGAAGTCCCATTTCCAATTTTCTGGCTTGAATCATTACTGGAGTTTAATCACTGTGAGAGCAGTGATAAGGTCAGGGGAAGGTTACTAGACAAGACAGGTAAGTCGACTAGTAAGGTGACGAAACTTCGTCGACTGAGGTGGCTTGGACATGTATCGGGCATGCCGATCCACCGCTACCTACCTCGACGTGGAAGGCTAAGGGAAGTTTGATTAGGTTGGAAGAGGGTTGAGGGTGGCGAGACGAAGACGTGGCACCAGTTCATGAAGTCTCTGACTATTCATCGGAGCCGTGTGATGAGATAAAGACTACCCGACTGGAGGTCTTGAGACAATGGGAATCAGTGTTCGATGACTGTTGGTGATATGGTTGGAAATCGGTCACAATGGCATAGATGTATTCACTCCTCGACATCTTCTAAAGCTTGAATATTCACATTGACCGTTATCTTCAGGATGTTTATTCTCTCACACAAGTTTGTCTACTTTGATATCAGTCATTTTTATCCACCTGTTATTTGTGTATTACTGTGTGAAGTGTGACGAGTTGAGTCGATGCACTTGTATGCGATGTTATACGTTTATTCTTTCAGCCAATCCATTTTGGTTAGGTTTTGTCCTTTGAACTAGATGTTTTAGTCATGGTGTTTTCTTTATCTTTCTTAATGACAACATTAGCACTTACTTCAATTTGTAGGTAAACCATCGACTTAAGAGAGCAAAACACAGACATATTCATTTACGTGACGTATATAAATTCTCCATTATTTCCGCCTGACAATTAATAACTAGCTATATGTTGAATGGTATTACTGCATAAAAAAGGCGAAGTTTCATCTTTTGACTTAACATTGATTTATGTTCATTGAAAGCTACAAGCTAATCAATATTATATATTTTTAGTATGCAGCGTGTGAAGCAATCATCAAACAAATGAAGAGATGTTTCCTTCCAGTCATCACTTAGAATTCGTAAAACTTGAATTCCCTAGACAATTACATCTCTGAAGAGAGTAAACTTTCTACAGTTGTAAAAAATTTAAAGACGATGTACAGTTTCGTGCGGAAGTTTATAAGTTAAGTTTTTCATGGCTAAGTTACTTATATTGTGGAAGGAAGGGAAGGTACCTGGCGATTGGAAGAAGGGTTACCTTGTCAAACTCCCGAAGAAGGGAGACCTCAGTGTTTGCAAGAACTGGTGCGGAATCACTCTCCTATCCACCCCAAGCAAAATGTTAAGCCGCATCATCCTGGAGAAACTTAAGGATGCACTGGATTCAAAACTACGACCAGAACAGGCAGGCTTTAGGAAGTACAAATCCTGTGCGGACCAAATTGCAACGCTTCGCATCATCATAGAACAGAGTATAGAATGGCAATCAGCTCTCTACCTCAACTTTATCGACTTTGAGAAGGCCTTTGACAGCATCGATTGAGAGGTAACTTGGAAACTGCTTCATTACTACAGAGTACCGCGAACCTTTATCCGCCTCATTCAACAACTATATGAAGATGTCACATGCCAAGTAATTCACAATGGGAAGCCCAGTGATGCCGCTGAAGTGAAGTGAAGACAGGAGTGAAACAAGGTTGCCTACTATCCCCCATGATATTCCTGATTGTAGTCGACTGGATCATGCAGCAAACAGTGGGGAGCGAGAAGAGGGGGATACACTGGCTGGACTGCGGAAAAGAACCTAGAAGATCTGGATTTCGCCGATGACTTGTGCCTGATGTCACATAAACTTGAAGATCTACAGGCAGAAACTAACAAGTTGGCAGAAGAGGCGAGGCAGCGAAGACGGGACTTCAAGTGAATATAGAGAAGACAGAGGTGGTGAAGATACCGCACCAACAACTCAAACAACAACAACAAACTCCAATCACCATCAACGGGAGAAACTTAAAGGAAGTAACCTCCTTCACCTATCTAGGAAGCACTGTTTCAACTACAGGCGGCACAGGCACAGACGAGGATGTCAAAGTCAGAATCGGAAAAGCAAGACAGGCGTTCATTAGCCTGAAACCAGTGTGCAGATCTTCTGCACTCTGCATACAGCATGAACAAGATGCGGATTTTCAACACCAACGTCAAGTCAGTGCTTCTGTATGGTTCAGAGACTTGGCGGCGCGTTACGAAAGGGATTTCCAATAAACTACAGACATTCATCAACAACTGCCACCTGCGCTCGCTACTGAAGATCAGATGGCCAGAATAATAAGAATAAGCAACAAGGAGCTCTGGGAACGAACCAACAAAGAACCTATCAGGCAACAAATATGCAGTGGAAGGAAGTAGAGATGGATTGGGCATGCACTGATAAGGCCGACTGGGGACATCATGCGTCAGGCCGTCGAGTGGAATCCCCATGGGAAGCGACGAGTTGGACGTCCGAGGGTGACATGGAAGAGATCATGCGAGGAGGAAATGAGAGCTTGTGGGCTGTCGTGGAACCAGGTTCAAAAGATCTCAGAGAACAGAGTTAACTGGAGACGTGCTAGTGAAGCCCTATGCTCCATTAGGAACCCAAGGGACTAATAATAATAATAATAATAAGTTACTTATATAAACTCGCTGCCTACTCACTTCATTCATAATAGTTTGTTTTCAGACAATATTCGATAGTGTAATACATGACTTTATTTAAGACTTTTGGAATCTTTGTATTAGGTTGCATTGAAAATTTTCATCTAAGAATTGACAAAACATAGTGACTTCTAGCTCTTTGTAATCTTAACTGTTATTTGTTTCATAAAAATTCACTACAAGAAAATATCAATCTGACTTACAGTAATATCTGATCGACTTGGATATACAAAAGAGACACTCTTGAATGTCACATTTCCAGAAAAGTTAGGTAGAAGACTTCCATCACAATCCTTATCAATTTGAGGAATCTAGATTAGAAAATATATCAAAGTAATTATTAATCTTATGAATAATAAAATTATATTATATCTACTCTAATATACCATCCTTTAGTGATTGAAGTTGTTACATTGAACATTGCAATCTGTAAAATGCTATATATACTATACTATACTATACTATATACTATATTTTACAACTTTAATGTTTAATTCAGTGATAAAACTATTTGAAAATTGTAAAATTTGTTTGAAGTTTATACTATTGAACAATTTGAGCAGTTTTTAAACCACTCAGGTTAATCTGTAAATGTAGCCAGGTAGATTAGAGTGATGTACACATGTTTCTTGCCAAGCTCATCAGCTGTGTACCCGGAAAACACAATTGAATCTCAACTGTGGGAAATATCAATGTTATATTTTCACATACTAAATTAAATTTTAAAAAAATTATCATCCTATTGAAATAGATGAATAGTTAGTTTTATGGAGAATTATTGATATTCTAAGTAGAATAGTTGAGTTCCATCCAATATGAACTGCATGGCACGGTTTTTCTTCAGTTCTTTTTTTGATGTTCTCGTTGAATTTATGTTCTTCATCTAATTTTTATACTTCTAATGTGCACTATAGCAGTAAAATTTAACCCTCAAGTAAACTGGTGTAATTTTTAAGCCTGATTAAAATTGTGCATTTTAGTTTCAACAAATTTTGAAAAACTTTAAGTCGTATATATAGGCATAGAAGTTGAAGTTACCACACTTAATTAACAAAAGCAAAGCATAACTTCAATTCAAAAAGGGAAAAAAATTATAAATTTTAAGCTCAGTTAGCAACTTTCAGAAGAGAAAGAAACAATTAAGGCCTAAGAAGAGATAACTGTGAGATATTTAATAGGATAAAATGATCATCATCATTATCAACATAAGACCATGCATTACTGCGCAACGGTCCGAGTAGCCACACCTCATTACCAGCACATCAAGTAAAAAGGTAGTGAGGTGAAGGATGAAGATAAGTGAATGCAGTCAAAAGAAACATAAAGTACAAGAAAAAAGGAAAGAAATGTGACAAAATGGTGAGATTCGGTATAGCGTCGTTAAGATGAGGATAATGTGTGTATACATCTGCGCCACTGACATCGGTTCTGAGCCATATCACCTAGGGTCTCCAACCACTGGTTCCTCTTGTCCCTGTACCCCAACCACCTAGTCTGCATCGTCCTACATGGCTTAAACCAACAGTCAGAGACTTCATACATTGGTGCCATGTTTTAGTCTGGCCACCTCCAACCTTTTTCCAGCCTGGACCCACCTCAGCCAACATTGTGTGACAAGGCAATCGGTGACTGCACATACGTAGTACGTGTCCCAACCATCTCAGTCGATGAAGGTTCACAACCTCGTCAACTGACTTACCTCTTCTCCCCAAAACTCTACACCTAACTTCTGCATTACTCATGTGGTGACACCACGGAATACGTCCTATACTACGAAGGCAACGGTGGTCAAACACCTGAAGCCTTTTTGTATCCTCTACTTTCAATGGCCATGTTTCACAGCCATACAGTAGAACAGAGCGGACTGCTGTGCAGTACACGCGACCCTTAATAGACAAACGAATATCACGGTGGCACCATAGGTGGCGCAAATTGGCAAAAGCCAATCGAGCCTTTTGTATCCGTGCCGAAATCTCATCGGCAACTAACCCACCGGGTTGATCCTACTTCCCAGGTAAGTGAAGTGGTCAACACACTCAACCACTTCACTCTCTATTGTTGGCCGTGGTACCGCTGAAGACCAGTCCTGGAGCAAAAATTTGCATTTGGGTGGTGAAAATCGCATCCCAAACATTCTCAAATTCCCACTCAAGTGTTCAGAAGACTCTGCATCTTGTCAGCGTCTTCACCTAACAGGACTATGTCATCTGCATATTCTAGATCTAAAGAAAATTCACCTGTGATTGGGTCAACGTCTGTGTAATTAGGTGACGAGAGGGAAACCTCCATAAGAATATCTATGATAAAATTAAATAAGAATGGGGATAGTGGGCATCCTTGACGGACACCACTTGATGAGTATAGCTCCCTGGACAACTCACCATAGGCTCTAAAATGCCCACAAGTGTTCGAGTAGAGAGCTTTCAATAAGGTGATGTACTTACTAGGCACGCCTTTCAGTGACAGACATGCCATAAGACTTCTCGATCAACGGAGTCAAATGCCGCCTTCAGGTCGAGAAATACAGCTATTGTCGGGCGTCTGTAAGCATGCCTATGTTCCAGGACCTGGCGCAGTGTGAATATTTGGTCGATACATCCACGGCCAGGTCTAAAGCCTGCCTGGTTTTCTCGGGCTTGGTGTTCCCGAGGTCTACTCAGGCGTCGGAGAATTATAGAACTTAGGATCTTAGACACTATGTTCGTCAGGCTGATTCCTCTGTGGTTATCACAAGAGGACTTCTCGCCTTTCTTGAAGACTGGGATGATGAGTGACTTAGACCAGTCGGAGGGGATCGTATTTGATTCCCATATACTGACTAACACTTCCGTTAACCTGACTAAGAGCACTCTACCACCATTCTTGTATACCTCAGCAGGTAGTCCGTTTGGTCCTGCTACCCTTCCTCGTTTCAGGTGGATAAAATGATATATTTTTCGTTTTACTTTGAAAATAATGATAACTGTTCCGTACATTAATACTCTGATATCACAATTCCCCAAAATATGAGAAAAGATTTTATCTGTAGGGTTAGGTTATCTTTTCTCTATAAATCTCCATCCTTTACAGTTTATCTCAATTAATCTCGCTCACAGTATTTGTCTCTTGAAGCATAAAATCCAAGTGGAAAAACGATTGATTAACTTAACGTAGGCATGAATTTTCATTATACACCTAATCATTAATCTAAATGATTTGGTTAGTAACTTACACGTTCAATTGTCCCGTAAATGTCAACAGCTGACGCCTGCGCATTCATAAAATATTGAAAACTTGGTAGAGCATTGCCCAAGAAAATACTTCCAAGAAGAACATTAATAAATATCTAGAAGAAAACAATAATATTATGAATCAAGTTATCAAAATTAAATATTCAAGTTAACATACTAATAAAGATGAATTCGTTAAAAACCATGTGATCCATCTGAAAAATTCTTCATTTTAAGACTTTTTAATTTTTGAAATTCAAAGTAAACGTGTTTAGGATATTAGCGTCTGATTTATAAACATCACTGTCAGTGAGTTTAGTTCGAGGTAAGTAAAATGGTGCATACATTGGAATTCGTATCATATGAAAATGCTCATTGTCTGTTATGTCATCCTCCTCATTCAAGGAGAGGTGATGAATGATATACCCTTTTTTCTAAAAGGCGAGTTTAACTACAAGATTATTTCAATTAGAAAGCAGTTACTTTTTCTTCCTATTATTACTCATTCGAAATTAATTTCTCGTTTGTGGTATAGTCAGAGACTAAGTTTGGTAGAACTAAACTTTAGTGACAACCAATGACATTCAAGTATGCAATGACCAATCAGAATCAAGAATATGAAGGACAAAGTAGTTGAGGAAAATAGTATTTTATCCATAATTTACTAATATTGTAACTGAGACATAAAGATACTTTAATTTTAAATAGGTTTATAATCTTTAAAACCATACTACTGTCTGCGTTCCCACTAATCAATATGAAACAATATCATTCAAACCATGTATAGTGTGATCCACAAAACTTTATAACTAATTGTAAGATGATTTGATTTTTATTTCACAAATTAAAAACTCTTTTCATGTTAGTAACTATTGAAATGTGCAGTTAGAATTCATACCTTTCAGAAAAGGGACTTGAGAACTGTTTATGTCACATCTCAACTTATGGAAATAAAATTGTAAACAAGATCTCACCTGAGAAACAATTCAGTCCACTTTAAAATTAACCAAATGGTAATAAATGGCTCTCAGAGATTTATAAACACATCTCTTCGTTAAGATTTAGTATGTAGTCTACGGTCATTGAAATGTATGTCACTAACCGTGCCTAACCACTGAGTCATTTCGTCTCGGGGACTCCAACCAGGTGGTGTACATCACCCGGCACGATTCAGATCTACAGTAAGAAACTTCATAATCTGGTGCTGGGTTTTGGTCTGGTCACCCTGAACCCTCTTCTAACCTAGTCCAACTTCCCATACTTAGCATGGCACGTAAATTTAGGCGGTGACCTAGTATGCGCAGGTACATGTCCAATTAATTTCAGTCCATGAAGGTTCCGAACCTCATCAATCGAGTTGCATGTTTTGCATAGGACTCTTTTCCTGACTTCAGCATTGCTCATACGGTGATTACATCAAACGCGAGCAATACTACGGAGACACCTATGATCAAAACCCTGTGACTTCTTCATCTCCTCTACTTTCAACGGCCATATCTCACAACCCGATAACAGTACAAAGTGGACTCCAGGGTAGTATACTTGTCCTCTAAAAAATAGTCGAATATTTCACCAGTCAGCGTAAAAGATGACGCAAGTTGGCAAATACTTAGCGGACTTACTGTATCCGAGGTGAGATTGCGTCAGCAACTAGGTAATACATCATTTTCGAAACGCACATGACCGTTATGTGATAAAGGAAACTAGTGCTTTTGAAATAAACCAAAATAAGATAGTGAAAAGAAGAGGTCAGTCTAATTTCGTTTATATTCGTAGTCTATCTAAATACTTCATGGGCATGCATGTGACTGCTTATAGCTGATTTGTCAAAATGTCCGTTACACAGAGTTCATGAACGGAAGTGTTAATGTGAAGTGGTTTGACTGGCAAATTTCCTACATCTTAGAATCTGTTTACTTTCAACACTCCCCTATAGCAATCATTTCTGATAAATATTCTCGTCATATAATTAGGGTGGTGAACTATGCACAGAAATTCAGCTTGAATATGAATATATTACTAACAAAATAAGTTGACTTTTTATCAATATGCTAAACATAGTCTAGCCAAAACTGAAGTAATTCTAAAAGCCTTTACACCTCTGCTAAAATTATCTAAATCTTTTATTAAACTACTGTTATCATGAAATTACGATGACAATAAAACTTGTGCAGTGTGTACCATTATCTCAGCAAGTTTATAAACAAATTTGTGTTCAATCTGCTTCTGGGTTTATGAACCAAGTTCATATTTTCTATGCATTCGAAAAACTTCATTTCAGATCTGATCCTTTTATCATTAGTAAGCGTGATCACGATGCTTTCTTATAGTTTCAATTGTTTGTAGGTAAGTAAGTTATTTTTTCCATTAAAATATATCCCAACACGTTTTGTAATCACCTATTATTTAAGAAATATGCATTTCTCTCCAGTGAAAGTAATTTTTAAATTAAAAGTAAATTATATAAGCATGAATGTACAGGCAGATTTTTGTTTTTAAAAGAATATTTTTTCCAGTAGCAAGCTAAGTACTTACATCACTACTAACCACATAATACATAGAAATAGATTAAGCCCCCCTACTTAAAGCTGATGCACGTTACAATGAATCGATAAGCGTCAGGTGTTTACGTAAGTCTTCTGTGAACTTTTCAAACTATTCACCTTTTATTAGACCATGCTTATCTTATTGTATAGGCTTATAAGAGAACTAATCTTGATGCTTTGTGTATTACATGACCCTTTTGATATGGCTAGGATATAAAGGCATTTTTAATCAATACAGATTGAAATAAGCAAAGGAAAACACGTAAAACTATCAAAAGATTATACGCCCAACCATCTGTACCAGCAGAAAATTATATTCCTCAGTGAACAAATAAAAAGTCACTTGGATTTTTGCAACAGTTTCATGTTTATATTAGAAACGACGTACCATTATAACTGATCCAGAACTGTAATTTTCTTCTATAATTAATTTAATACCATACCAAAAGATCAGAGCAGAAGAACAAAAGATTGTTAGTCCGATTGCACCCAATACTATAGAACAAAAAATACATAAACTAAGTTTCAAATTATATAACGTCATAGTGATTTTGTTTGTACACACTTAAAGTGAATTGTGGATTCCAATGGGTAATAGATTGGTCACTTATAATAAAATATCTAATAAACTTACAATAATGAGTAGTTGAATCGACTTAATCAAACATAATCTTTATAGGGTGCTGCTTGCATTATCCCGTCATTGATTGAACCAAATTGACCGGTCTCTACTGAAATATAGGCTCCTGTATTTTCAATTTTGGAGCGATCTGTCCGAGGTTCAAGTTTTAGTGGGAACAAGATCGATCACTGGATGGCAGATGTATCCAAATGATGAGCCCTAAGTAGGACGAAACGCAAGTTTTGAATTTCACTGCTAGACACTATCCACCACTCACATCAAAATCTTTACCTTTGTTAGTTGGTTAGAGGCGATTGGTAGGAATCTCTTGACCAAGCTCTTGGGCTTGTTGGCATTTGTCAGCCAGGCGTATCCCCAGCCTCAAAGGAACTGGTGACCCGCCTGTGATTCATAATCTTTATAAATGTGCAATCGGATAAAGCGATCAAATGGACAGTCAGTGCTTTTCAAGTTATAATTTGAGAGGGAACAAAATGTTGTCAAAGAAGTGAGATTTAAGCTCATCACAACATATATCTGCGGAACCGTCACTCCTGAATTACAACCTAGACGAAAACTAAGCTCATTGACGTCATCTTCTATGTTAGTCTGTTTCGAAAAGAAAGGCTAGAAATATTTAGATATACAGAAGTAAAGCAGAACAAACATGTTTCTGAATTTATTATACAGTAAAGTACCAATAAAGCTCAAAATAGATGTAAAATATAAAGTACTGAGAATTATTTGGAAAAATGTTTTTGGGTTTTGCGATTCAGTGAACCAAAATTTATAGTCCTGGCGACGATATTTCTGGATAGCTTTAAAGGCCACCCTGTCAACTGGTGAATTAGTGGGCGATTCTAAAGGCCCCCCTAACACTGATCAAACTAATCAATTGGGTAAGCATAGAAGCGTATTCGGTTATCTCAGCAGTTGTCTGGGATGACTTTTAAAGTCACCCACATTTCCTCTTAAAGTCAAAATACAAAAAACAAGTCAGTGAATAGTAAATGGAGAATAAAACTGATTATACTAGGATATGTTACAGTTGGTGGATTGGACACAATTCTGAATCAGCATGTTTATATTGCTGAAGAAAAAGAATATTGAAAGTATTTAGAGTATTCTGGTTTTCTCATTTAAATATACATCAGTTTTCTGAGCCTTATTTCGAAAATATTTATCAGTCTAGAGGTCAAATCAAAAAATGTGAATAGTGACAACATATTTTTGTTCAAGATATCCAAGGATTATTACTCTTACCTCCACCAGTCGCTGTCGACTTCTTAACACCGACTTTTTCGGCCATTCCTAGTTGTTCGCTGTACCTTGCTAGTTCTTTCTTCTCCCCACCAAATGCAATAACAGTTCGTATAGACTCTAAAACTTCCCCAGCTATTGAACCTGCACGTGCATAAGCAGCTATTTCCTTCATAGTGAAATATTTCATTGCAAATCCAAAGCATCCAAATACTGCAGTAATAATGGGCAGCATAGCACATGCAACAAGAGTAAGTTTCCATCCTGCTGTAAAGCTTATTACAATGCCTACTATGAATCCTGATATATTTTTTATAAATTCTCCAATTTTTGTTCCGATTCCAAGTTCAATCAAGTCGATATTTTGGGAGAGTTTGCTAATCAGTGCTCCAGACGACTGTTCATCAAACCAAGGGATATCTTGCCGTAAAATACTCTGAATAAACAGAAACAATGATTTCACTGTAAACTAAAATGCTTATTTGGAATAAATAAAAGGCACAGAGTACGTCGTAATAACGTGAACATCCAAATTAGATTGAAGTCAGAATTTGCGAAGTAATTTTCACACAACTTTGTAATGTAAATATTCCATATATTAATCCTAAGAAACAAATTAAATTATGATGCTAGACCCTGTGAACACAGTCATTTTGGTCTGGCTCTTCTTCTGTTTTCTTTCTCATAAATTATTGCTAATAATTTGTTCCGTTCACCGTTTCTTCAAAGCTTAATCAGTTAAAAGCAGGAGACATTAAGCGATTATAGGGTTTCGATCATAGGTGTCTTCGTGGCATTGCTCGTGTTTGGTGGAGACATCACGCGAGCAGTATTGAAGTCTGGCAAGGATACTGTGAAAAAATGACGGGTCAACTGATAAGGTTGTGAACTCTAGTTGACTGAGATGGCTTGGACATGTACTGTGCATGCCGAATCACCACCTACCTCGACGTGGTATGTTTAAGGAAGTTGGATTTGATAGAAAGAGAGTTCAGGGTGGACAGTCAAAGAGGTGGTTCCTGTAGATGAAGTCGCTTACTGTTGATCTGAGATGTGTGGGCTAATGTAGACCGCTCGGTAAAGGTTCTCCAGACGAAAGGATTCAGCATCTGAGGATTCTTGGTGACACGGCTGAAAATTGGTCAGAATGGTACAGATGCATTCACTTTTGACAACTTATGAAGCCTGAATATTTATTGACTTTAATACAACTCTAATTCTATCCACCTATCTTTTTGTACTATTGTAGAGGTTGTAAACTTGAGCCAATGCGTCTGTGTGCGAGGTTCGACGCTAATTTTGTCACTTAGTCAGGTTGTTCAGCCAAGGAGTTGAAATATAATTCATAAATTTATCATGTCAAGTATCTTCCTTTTTTGTCATCCACTTTTAATATCAAGAGAAAAACAAATGACTAAACCACACTTACGGTTTTTACCTACAGATTGAAACTAACTACCAAATGCCACATATAGCTAATATTAAGTTTCAAAAGTTTCATGATATATGCTTCTATTTTTATGGAGATAAATGCTTCAGATTACATTGTACCTTTAAAATAATCAAATGTGAATTATATTCTTGAAATTAATTCACAGTTTTTTAAATAAAATTATAAGCTGACTTAAAATTCATGTGTTAATCTGTTATTTCATGGAAGTAGGTAGAGCATGAGTGTACACAAGTGATACTAGGAATAAGACTGAAACATCATTACCTAATTTCATTTTTTGATTGGAAAACAAAAGCGAAACAAAACAAAAACCATTCGAACAGATCAGAAGATACAGAAATCAACATAGAATCCACCAGAGTTGTGCAACGGTCCAAGTTGCCATATTTTATAGTAGCATAAAAAGAAGTGGAAAGAAGAAGTCATATTAAGACAAAACTATATGAGATGAGAAATAGATGAAATCGAAGAAGGTCAGTGGAAATATTCACAAATTTGAAAATGACACAGAGTGTATATACGTGTACCATTGAGATACTTTATTCACTAATATTTTTTCTTTGTCTAGTACTCTGCGTCCCATCTAAGAACTGCTCAGACAGTTATTTCACCATACACAAGCCGTGCTATGGAGAGATTTGAGTAAAAACCTGTAATCTCTTCAACCTTCTACTACTTAAAATAAGAAAGCGAAGTGTTGTAGAGTATATTCCTCTTTCAATTGGTAACCAGGTACTTTGACGGCATCAGAAATGACACAAGCGAGAAAATGCCAAACGGGCCTTTTAAATTTGAACTCATACACCGTCAGCAACCAGCCTGTTTGAATTGACCTAACTCCGTAATTAGGTGAAGTGGTTACCGCAATCCATCATTTCACTAAATATCCTTAAACTAAGAGTTGTCAACCAATTGGGAAGCATTGTCTTGTATTTGGCAAGTTCGAAACACATGCGAATATACTCAAGTATATCCTTAAGGCGTTCAGAAAACTGCATTCTGTCAACATCTTCAAATGACAAGACAATATCTGCTTACCTTGTCAGCCAACTTCCCCCTAAGAGTAAGTCATCTCATAAAGAGTGGTTGGCATTTACAGTTATAGCTACTAGTACGTCCACGACGGCGTTTATCGAGAATCCTTAGAGTCGCCAAACTCGGTTTCGCTCCTTCAGAATACAGCTGTCAATAAGCACCTAGATGGCTGCATCAGCTAGAGTGAAGAAATGTGATTACCACTACACACCTGCTCAGTACTCACCTCACTGTCAGACAGTAACACGGCACCTCTTGGTGAGCAGAGTTGGATATCACCTTCAGATCAAGATTAATCGCAGGTGAAGGGTTCCGGTAGGTATTTTTGTGTCACAACACCTGTCGAAGGGTAGTGGTTGGATAGATGTGCTCTTGTCCAGATCTGATACCTGCTTGGTGTTTTCGATCTCCAGATAGGTGTCGAATAACTATGGACCCCAGAATTACGGACATAATGATAGTCAGACTGATCTACCTGTGATTTTATAAACTTCAGGATCGAAATTTGACCTGAAAGAGTTGAATAAGTTGAGCACTGGATAAATGGATTGTAAATGAAATAGATTTGTAAAATCCCAATGAGGTAGAGAAACGAATTTCTGACATTTCATGATTTCATAGAAATCGCTTCTTCAGAAAAGTAAAACCTGTGTAAATTATCCAGTGTCTACCATTTAAACAGTCAACAACTTGTACGGATTACACTCCCTGGGTAGGCGACTTCCAAGCAGTCACGAAAAGTCGGAAATTTATTTTTCTACCTCCTTGAGGTTTTACAGATATATTTCATTTATAATCCACCCACGTTACCATACAGAAACTTCTCTCCTTCTTTATACACAAGGATAGTGAGTGATCTAGACCAGTGTGACAAAACTAGCTCTCTTATACACCAGATAGTTCCTCCATCACAATACTAAATAATTTTTACCTGAATGAGTGAAAACCTTTGATAGTAAGCCATCGATTCCTTCTGCTTCGAATCATTTCAGGTTTAAAACATCCTTCTGAACTTCAGTATGAGTTAGTGGACCGAAATCTATATATGTTCAAGGTCCCGCACTGGATTCAAAGCAACTGAAGTGAGTTGTAGGTCAGCTGAACTGCGCCTCAAAGTGTTCCGCCCAATCTTTCGGCCAACTGTTCTTATGGGTCATCAAGAACTCATTCTTTTAGGTGATTGTTTCACTAACCATCGTTTGCGTATTGCCACTTTCAGTAATAAGCCTAAATAATCGATTATCCCCTAGTCCTAATGCCTTTTCCGGTGTTTCAACAGCTAACTAAATATTTCACTAGGCTACGCCTAAATGTGGGTTGCTACCATGTTCATCTGAATGCTTAGCAATTATTCTCCCAAACGTATTTTGCGTTTTGACCTTACAACCAAAAGAACGAAGTTTTAATTTATGTTTACTGCCATGCACACTAAGGTTTAAAAATGCACATATCTGTACTGCCATGTGATTAGACTCTAGATTATTACTCAGAAAAGAGAGACAATCATCTCCAATGATGTCTTATGTAGTATGATCTGTGTCCATTACTGGTTTCATGTTAAAAGAATGCCAGTGAATGAAACGGATAACCGTTATTATTTCATTGTAATATAATGTGCAAAACTCAGGACATTTGAATTTCTAACTAAAAAACAGTTAAGTGTTAGCAATTTTTTTAATTCACTTCTGGTGCAAAGGTGTATCACTGAAAATCTTCTGGACAAATTGCTTAGCCGGAGTTTGTATTCAAATTTAGCTGCAATGCACTTGAAACCCTACTACCTTTATAGTTTCAATTTCCTAATCTTGGTGTCTTCTCGATAAATATTATATTTGCTAGTTGGTTATCCCTTATTACAATATTACTAAGGATACAAATATGATACTGATGGACAGTTGTACTACGAACCGTACGAGAAGTATTCTAAAATTTAGGACTACAGTAAATAATTCACATATCGATGAAATGTGTAACGGCTGGTAATTATCCACGGTTCCAGTGAGTTCCGAAGTACTCCTCGTTGTGCTTCATAATCAAAGCAGTTTCACCTGCATGGTTCAAAGTTATCAAACCATCGTAGCCATTGTAGGTTATTTGTCCGAGAATCAATGTAGCTATCGGCTTTTAAATTGTTTCTAAATGCACGGGTGTTTGAAGATGTCTTAATCGTGTCAACCCATTAATTGAGTCTAAAAATATTCTAGATGATGCAACACGCTTAGGACCAGTCATCATGATGACTGTATGAAAAAGTAGGATTTTTTTTCAATTGTGCCATCAAAAAATATGTTTTGCAGAGGAACTGACTAATATACAACAAAACGTTGTCAAAGGAGTCACATGACTAAAGATTCATAACTCAGGACATCGGAGGTTTTCAGTCAAAGTAATTCAGAGATGCGTGAGATTTACCTTCTACCTTTGCAAGTGAAATCTATTTATTTTATGAAGTAACTTGAAACCATTCAGGAACCGGTTCGAAAGCCTAACTAGACATTTTTTTGCAGTCACCTAGGTGGATATTAGTTTGTCTTGATATCAGGAAGTGAATGGCACTCGAAATGCTTTATACATAATGAAAAGATAAAAGTTTAGCAATGCAATGTGAACGTTAATTAACATTCGTCACAAAAACCAGTCGAAATTAAACTTTGGACTACTTGCCTTGAAATAAAGGAGACGTATGCGGTTTATCTGTCGACTAGCTGATATGTTCATGCAGAAGTCTTGGAGGAAAGCAGCAACGAACATAGCAGCTCCGAGAACAGCAAACCATTTCACTGTGCCATATATGTTTTCTGCTATAACAGACACCTCAGTAAATTGATCTACAACACCCCGGAATATAAACACATTGAGTGGAAATGCTGTGCCAACCGCTGCTGCAAAAATGACTCCAGTAATTAGTGCACATATATCCTTCCAATCTGCATATCGGAACTAAATAATGACATTTAGTTCTTTGCATAAAATAAATTACCAGTTTAAAAAAAGAAATTTTAGGATATCCTTTTTTCGCACTATAAGGCGTTAGTGAATATGTTTGGACTTACTTTTTGTCTTTAGGTTTCTTCCTACAACATCTCATGATGTCAAACAAATGTGAGTACGAATAAACGTTCTTATTCAGTGCACCTAAACAAAGTTTCATTCAATTTCCAATATCCAATATCCAATATTGATAGTGCGAGCGTAGAAAACTAGTAGTTTTTGATCTCTCGCGTCTAGTTCTTAGGGCTTGGTTCCAGTTGTTCGGTTTACTCCTGCAGTGGACGAGGAAATCCCCTCTGCTTTCTTGCTTTTAGCTTCGGTGAGGTGGATGTTTTGTGGGTTAGTAGGTTGTAATTTGTAGAGTGATTAGGGAGCTACGGGTTGCTGGGAAGTTTAGAGAACTGCCATGACTCCTGTCTGTGTAGGTACCTGGAAGAGAATAGTAAGGTAGTGGTAAAGGAATGAAGAGAGAATAAAGAAGAGAGTGAAGTAGCACCATAGAGACTCTGGGAGCTGGGTTAAGGCCGTATCGCTAACCATCCTTGCCTTTAAACAGGAGTTTGCGTAGATAGCCACTCCCCCTCCTGCTCTATGTTCCCTGTCCCTGCGGAAGAGTTCCATGCCAGCAACACGCATCTCTTCGTCGGAGATGTCCGATGAGAGCCAGGATTCGGTGATGAATATGATGTCGTAGTGCTGATGTTCACGCAGCGTCCTCATTTTTGCTACCTTCCCTATTAGCCCCCTAACGTTGCTGTACATACATATTAGAGTGTACCTGATGAGAGGGGAGGTCTGGATGTGTATTTTCGCGGGATGAGCGCTTACGTGGTTGAATTTAGCCTCGCCAGTCCTCATAGGACTGGCATTGTTCCGTTTTTTTGTGTTTTGTTCTTAACTTGGGTGGGGGCTGTAGCAGTGGTGGCTTCTTTACTTGATGTATCTAACTCACTGGTCAGCGCCTGTGTGACGACCACTGACTCCAGAGGTCTTGGTGGTTGCCGTCTCTCCTCTTGCCTTGTGGGTCTAGGCTTACTTTCACATATACGTATTGAGCCACCCATGCGATCTTTCGCATTATACCATGCGTGCAGAACGTCTGTGAGGGAGGCATATGAGTCGAACTGGACGGCAAGTAGTCTGGGATTGGGTATGGTCTTCAGGTGCGCTGGCCTTGGCAGTCTACTGACGCTGTTGGCCGGTATACTGTTGAGACCAACTTTGGTTGAGAGCCATTGCCATTGTTGGACGTCGTGAAAGTACCGATCTTTGACCGAGCTGTCACTTGGCAATTCTGGAATCCCATGTACAACTATAGTGTTGTTTCTGTTGGGATTTCCAACCGCTGACTTTCTCTCCTCCTCTCTTACTGACCATGGCTTGTCAGGCCTGGCCCGAATTTTACAGGCATTAACAACGTCCGGTTGTCGCGAGAGGAGGAGTGTGTCTTCAGCCTCTTTGGCGGTATTTAGGGACACACGTAAAGGGGGTGGCTTATCTCGGGGTGCATGGCTTCCTCGAGAAAGGCGACACAAAGTTGCAGGGAGGGGAGGGAGTCCCAGCATCTGACAGTAGTCGGTCCACATTCGGCTGTCAAATTGTTCCCTCTCGACCAACAATGAGTCTGTCGATACATCGACGTTGAACAAAATGATCGAGTTGGTCCTCCTGTGACCTGGGTTCGTTGTGGGTGGCACGCCCGACTTACCAATGGGTTTGAGTAATTCCACTGGTTGTTTCTCAGTCACGGTGTGTGGGGTGTTCGGAATGGGTTTCGTAGAGGCTTCGGCGGTCGATGTCTTTGGCCATGCGCTTGACGTCCCCTGGGGCCGGGTGGGGGTATGGAGACTTGACCTAATATGGTCCCCACGCGAGATGGCGTGCCCACAGCTGGAGCTCTAGGTCTGTTTCCAGGTCTCTCTGTGTTATCCTTTGGTGTTAACCCTACCTTATTCGAGGATGCTGGTAGCTTTTGCGTGGCGGAGAGCATCTCCTTCAGGCTTTCTGTGCGGAGTGCGGGCATTTTCCTGCACTCTGGACAGATGTACCAGAACCACTTGCATGGTTGTCTCTTCATCAGCTTATAGTATTGTCGGGGGACTTTGGTAGGGTTAGGGTGCAGGAATTCATCCTTCATGAGGTGGTAGTTCACATTCCAGTGACAGCGAGACGCATCAAGTTGGACCATTGGGAGCTCTTCCTTGGTTGTCAGGACAAGTCTTACCTGTGCGTGATAGCTTTTCTCTGCGGAGGGTTGGAAATAAATGCCGTCCACCAGAAGACCATCGGCTGTTACGATGTAATCAAGTCGTTATTCTTTCCCGTCTGGTTTCCATCGGGTGTTTTCCATAGCTCTCTCTGTTAGTTCTACTGTCATGGGGATGTTCCAAAGGTTTGGGCAGAAAAATTTAAGTTTGCAAACACCTTCCAATCTAGGGTTAAGCACCACTGCGTTGGGGTCAGCACAGTCATAACCTGCTGAGGTGGCTGCAGAAATAAACGTTAGCACCTGTTCCTTGCACTCCGCTGCGCACGTTAAAGATTTAATGCCGCTTCTATCAGACACTTCGTGTGGTTTACAGTGAAACAGGACCACCTGAATTCTTGCAATCGGTCGAGTACACTTGGTTGAGCACCTCAAGAGTCTGCTCGGTGTTCCCTTCCTCACGAAAACAACATCCTAACACCTGATGTCGACCGTAAGCAACCATCTTCCACGGAAATCGCTGGACCACTCAATCTTTAGGTCTGTTTTTCTTCAAAAGCTTTAACTGCCTAAAAAAAGCCGATCAAAACGTGCCCCTGGTTCCACCTCTGTATGTTACCCTTTCCGACTGGTGCTTCACAAATCGGTATAGGCCTATTCTAATAGTACTCTTCCGCTTTATAACTAATAGTATTTAGCCGTAGTTCTCGAATCTTCAGTTCTCACTAACTGCGCCACTTCTGCGTGATAACATATCCAGAAAATAATCCACTATATTCTAGTAGCTTCATGGGTAACCTTTTTTCTCATCCAGTATGCCTTGTGTCTCGGCTAGGATGAGAACATTAGTTCTTTATAACGATTCAATAAAATTTCAGCCTGAACCTGTATCATCAAGCGTTAACAAGCCAGTCTCAGCACCAGTGAGCACAACAGTGTAGTGCAGTAAACACAGTCTCATTTATCGTTCGGACTAATTGTATATACCTGTGGTATAATTTCCGGTACTTCAAGGGAGACCCGTCAGATTTCCAGTTTCATATTTTGCTTCATCTTTCTTGCCCAATCGCTTTCCTCTCGTTCTCCGTACATCTTTCAGTTACGGGAGCCAGCTGCTGAGTGGTTACATGGTCATGCTATTTGACCCTTCTCGGTCGTCGTATGTCTTCCGCCAGGGTTGCAGAGCAACCTCATTCTCATCAGCAGCCAAATGTCATGCGACTCCCTTGTCGGCGTGGAACGACACTGGGATCCCTACTCGGAACGCGAACTATGGCTACCTTCCGGACATTGAACACTTGTAAAGTGGCCTAACGAGCTTTACTCTCATTGGCTAAAGGCAGTCATTTGCAAACGCTGGTCACCACTTCCAATGTATTCTCAGTATATCGGTTTAACTGTACCTACCCAAATTTCTAGTCATCGACAGTATGACAGTACATACCACACGTACGGTTCAGGACTCCTTCCCCTTCCAAATTTGAGTGAGATGCTTTCATGATGGAATTCATGTCTTGTCAAGTCTTTTGGTCACCAGAACTTGATATTTTGATCTTAACCTAGCGCAATCCCTTACTTGTGAATTTGAAGATAGTCACAGAATGACCCCTTTTATCAAGCGGTGCAAGGTGCAAGATGAAGCTAACATCGCCTTTGTGAGAGAATAGTAAGCCTAAATGTAACGGAGCATCCTGATAGTCGTATCGGATTGCTGTTAAGGCACACTAGCCAAGGAAACTGACACTTCCATTAGCCCCTGATCAAACGAACTTTTTGATGCTTGTGCCATGAGGCTGTCCCAGTCAACCGATGGTGCATTGAACTCTCGTAAAACTAGGTACCTGCACCTATATGCCGCCTATTGTTCTTTTACCACCACTCTTAAAAGCTATCTGGTGACACGACGCTTGGTTGATGCAACTTCACTGTGTGGCGGCGACCAACTATGCATCACAATACCTATTTAACCAATAAGTACCTGCCTGTCGGGTTTTAAAATAGCTTTAACGAGTAAGTGATTACATTCACTGCATTGGAGCCAACCGAATATCTAGGACCGTTCTGCAGTGCCTAAAACTGATGCGAAGAAATCAACTTGTTTACACGAGCTCATTAAACAGGTATTGGATGTTGAAATCTTGTCCATCAAAATTCTCCTCAATAATGTTTTATTTCTCGCTTTTTTTCATAGAAACTAAATTTATTCTGGTCTTTGTTTCCGGATTAGGAGGCCTTTTCTGTAAATGTAGTGTGCCTTAACAGCAATCCGATACGACTATCAGGATGCTCCGTTACATTTAGGCTTACTATTCTCTCACAAAGGCGATGTTAGCTTCATCTTGCACCTTGCACCGCTTGATAAAAGGGGTCATTCTGTGACTATCTTCAAATTCACAAGTAAGGGATTGCGCTAGGTTAAGATCAAAATATCAAGTTCTGGTGACCAAAAGACTTGACAAGACATGAATTCCATCATGAAAGCATCTCACTCAAATTTGGAAGGGGAAGGAGTCCTGAACCGTACGTGTGGTATGTACTGTCATACTGTCGATGACTAGAAATTTGGGTAGGTACAGTTAAACCGATATACTGAGAATACATTGGAAGTGGTGACCAGCGTTTGCAAATGACTGCCTTTAGCCAATGAGAGTAAAGCTCGTTAGGCCACTTTACAAGTGTTCAATGTCCGGAAGGTAGCCATAGTTCGCGTTCCGAGTAGGGATCCCAGTGTCGTTCCACGCCGACAAGGGAGTCGCATGACATGAAGGATGAATTCCTGCACCCACCAAGGCCAGGGGGATGACATTCCCCTTCGACATAGGAGCGCCGGATCCGTATAAAAGACATTATCTGGCATGCTGTCTTTGAGAGCTTTCTGAAAGCAAACAGAC